GTTCGAGACGGCTGCTTGGGACGCGGTGGATGCGCTGGTGCCGTGCGCGTCCCCGCTGGGCTGCGGAGCACAGAGGGACCCAGGCTCCCCTCTCCACGGGGTCATCGCCGGGAGGCTTCGAGGCCTTCTTTCCACCGCAGCTCAGGACAGCGGCAGAGACTGCCCCAGCGCCGTCCCCTGGGAAGCAGCCAGGGGATCCACTACGCTGAGGACAGGGCGGTGCCCCCCTTGGCGCCTGTGACACGGGCTGAAAGCAGCCTGAGCGCTCAGATGAACTCGGTAACGGGTTTATTCACGTCAGGACTGCCTTCCCGGGCCCTCGCCCCACAGAAATGCAGGGGCTGCGTGCCTGAAGCAGGCCAGGCAGGTTCTGAAGAACATCACCATCTTATCTGGGGCGGGGGGGACAGACGGACCCTTCCTGACCCACACTGTCCCCCCTCTGAAGGGGGCGTCAAGGCCAAACAGTGCAAAGATCAGTAATCAAGTGGTAGTCCCAAAACAAAGTAAACCCACACACTTTAAAAAAATCTTTTCATAAAACACAGTTCATAAATGTAACACACTGCCTCGACTATAGCCAAGTTTTGGGCCTCAAAATACTATGCAGATTCCTATAGCTACATGAAAACAAACTTCTGGTCATCACAGAGCTATTTGTTAAACGGGTAGGTGCTTCCCAAACTGCACCGACTGATACCAGTACCAAACGTTATCCTGCTGGCGTTTACCAGTAAGAATGGAATTTAACCAACCTCACAATGCAGCCTTGCAAAGATGTCTCGGTATAACAGGCAAACAGCGAAAGTTTCATATCCTCTATCATCCTCAGTCCACAAAGAACCCAAAGATTCATAGAGAAGTTAATGGAAGTTAATTTCTGCAAAGGGAACGTTCCGGCAATACAAATCTCATGCCCTCAATTTTTCCAGCTACTGGGTCTGGTGCAGCGAAGTCATGCATAAAGCTGCCAGACCATGTTACAGGATACACTAGCATGTAAGGTGAAATGTTGCCTATGTATATTTCATTAAAAACTGTGTATTCTTAAAGCAGGTTCTTTTGGATGCACTGGAAAAGGGGGAGGGGGGGAAGGGGACAAAAAGCTAAAACTGTCATACTAGAGTGAAAAATAAATTAGAAAGGAGGAGACCGATTAATCACATGCTGCTCCACAACACTGCTTTATCTATAAAGGTGTCATTAAATTCATCTCTGTATAATTGACATTAAAAAATAAAATAAAACAAAACAAAAACCACGTACCACATCAAGTAATAAAAAAAAATTATCAGGGATGTTCTTGTTTGTTACTCTTTGCAGAAAGAAGTGTGTGGCCACTGCTCACTCTTCCCTGTATGACCCAGGTCAAGGATCGTGTTTAACTCATGGGGGACAGAAACAATCTAGATGTGCTACATGAGTTACGATCATCCTTACTTATTATGCAGTCTCCTGGTTTATAAGCAGGACCAGGTGTACTGGATATTTTCTATTGGTTTCTGCTGTTTGTTGCCTATGCCTGTGCATAATTACTCATGTTGTTTTAGGTTTGGCATCTTGGGATATTGCTGAGTCCTTTTTAAGAACATGCCATTTCTTTTTATACTTCAGGGAAGTGCATGCTTCAAAGAGTGTTTTAAGCTAAAAAGAAGAAACTTTTAACCTATAACAACATAAGGACATCTACCTAACAATGACTACAACTCATGGACATATAAAAGGAAGGGGAAGACAAAGACAGCATAACAAAGAATAAAGAGTGGAATAACTTTAGAGTCAGCCGGTGAGCAAAATTAATACCAGGAGGTAAGTGGGGGAGGGAGACTGCTCGGTTTCAAGGGTTGGTGCTATGCCAACAGTTGCTTATTATGCACAGGTTAATGGTAGGTTGTTTAAGGAAGCTCAGGATGACTCTGCACTATCTAGGTTCCAATACATAAATTGTATTGGATAGAATTCAAGAAACACTGAGCTTTGCACTGTTCTGTTTTTGGAAGCAACAAAGTCTGTTCCCTTTAGGTAAAGCTAGAGTCACTTTCCAGGAACAAAATCACTCCTTGAAAGCCAGGTAAACTAACATACATCACCTGATCGAGGCTTAGCCCCCCTCCACCTCCAATCTGATGTCAAACAACTCCAAATAGGTGAAATTTTCTCTTGCAGGGGAAAAAAAAACAAAAAAAAAAGCTTGCATAGCTTTATCATCGGCTGCTACTCAACAGGTAAGTAAGTGAGCATTTAACAGCAAGTAAGCATTTAAGCAGAGAAATAGATCTATACAGTTGTGCAATAATCCTGTCACTGCTCCATCCCTCAATATTATATTGAATTTAAAACATTCAATTTAATCTGGACTAATATTGGACAGTGTGTTACGTTGAAAGCATCACCTTCTGAAAGTTTCAATTGTTAAGTAAACTTTGATTTCAGCATATTATTTCTCAATTTATGGTAGCTTCTAAACATAGAATTTAAAACAGAAACATTGCTTATATTCAACTTATTGTTCCAGTGAATACAATTAAGCATTGCAGTATCAGAATAAAAGAGAACTCTTAACTTACCTCATCACTACAGAAAAGATCCAGTTTCTTCACCTGTTTCAGAGAGAGAGCTTCCTTTCTCGTTTCCTGAACTACATTACGCTATCAAGATTCAGTTGCCCGTCTAATTTTTCACTTGTATCATCGTTTCTGCTAGGAGCCCCAGTCATTGCTTAGACTGTACACTGCCTACTCATAGAGTAAGCAGAACAAAAACATTGACTCTACTGGAAAGCATCTACAGTCTTGACAAACGGATGCACTGATGGTGAAGTACAAGGAAACAAAACAATATTGACCAGCACACTAGGCAGTAGAATCAACAAACCACTGTGGGTTTTTTTTGTGTTTTGGGTTTTTTTTTTTTTGGCAGGTAAAGAACTTTTACAGTCGCTTGAAGAATATTACGGTTACTGTGCAGATTTTTTATGAGGACCTTTGCTCAAGCCTGGGGGAAAGCAAGGAAAGCAACAATGTGCTCAACTGGAAAATGATACTAATCATTCCAACACCGGAATCGTTGCTGGAGCTGGCACCTTACTATGGAAGGAAGCGTTAGAAAATAGTTATAGGTTCTGGACGGCCCTCAGAAATGAGAACAAATATCTTAGACTTTAACCAATGGAGAAGGGGGAGTCAGAGAAAGGATGCAGAATTTTAACTCTTTTTAATCAATATAAAATATTTTGTGTAAAAACAGTCAAAGCCATGCTGCAATTTACTCGTTTAGTATGCAAAAGGAACACAGACATCTGAGGGTTCTTGGATAAAGGCTTGTAGAGCTACTAACAGCATTAGACCAACTCAACACCACAAAGGGGATACAATTAAGCCAGCACAGATCTCCAACCCCTCTATCCCAGATCTAAGGTTAATAGAAACGGTGGTAAAAGCCACACTGTGCATTTTTCCTATCCAAAGAGCAGTACGAGACCACTGCATGCTGTATTAGTCCAGCACAGATGGAAGCCACTGGTACAGAGCTTGTTAGCTGTCTTAATAGCAGAGTTATCTTAACACACTTACTGTCAAGTTTCTATCCCAGAGAACACACAGCACAACAACGCAGACTGACTGTTAAAGTTTAAAATAGTAAGAAAGTAGCGCTATTTAATTCTTGTTCTATACAACCTTCACCTTCTTTCCCAAGACAAGCTTAAACATAAGGAGATCAGGAGATGAGATTTTTTGAAAGTTTACAGTGGACAGTTTCAGCAACAAATTTCACTTCATCCAGATCTGTAAAGCAGTGCAAAAGCAAGTACAACAGTTTGATTTAAAGTCAGTTCTCATTAATAAAGAACAAGCATGAATTAATGTAATGTGAACTGTAGTAGTTTTAATGTAGCTTACGTGACTGACCCAAATCAGTTTTGTTCTATGTTATGATTTGTAAAATAACAGTAATAAGAAAGAGCACAAAGGCTTTTTCTTAACAAATTTTAATATTAAGACCACTTTTTCTGGATAAAAACACAAAGTTACAAGAAACTGCACTACTGCAAATTCTACAGGAAGCACAGTAGTTAGTGCTGGCAATATCTGAGCGGGAAGACTGTTTTGGAGTTGTTCACTAAAGATATGTAGAGGACAGAATCTTGGCATAAATAAGAATGTTTTATCAATGAACTCAACCTTGTGAAAAAATATTTGTCCCACAATATACACTGCTATAAATATTCAAATGCAAAATATACGCACATCAAATATATCCGGTGTTAATTTTCAATGTAGCCTTTAGTCAGCAACAGCAAGTTAGAGAGAAACGTTTGGGCTATTTTTCTATGATTTCATTTTACTGGAAATTTCCTAACAATTACTCCGAAGTGTAATATTTATAGTTCAAAACTGTCAGGAAAATAGTAATTCTGTAAAACATCAGTTTCTGGCCCTCTGATAGTGATAGCCCAATCCTCCTGCCACTGACTCATGCATTTGGCATGAGCTCATTACTTAAGAGCATAAAGAGTCTAGACACCAAAATGCACTACCGCCATCACAGCCATCACATGCCAGATTCTTGCATTATTAAACTACATGCACATACAGTTAAGTGTAGAATACCGAAGGAGAATGCATTAAGTAGCACGTTAATTGTTCTTTAGTTTTTCTGATTACTGTAATGGATACTCATATTTCCCCCATATAATCGTAGAAAAGGTACTGCATTCTAAGCGTGTGGGTTGATGCTACTTAAAAGCTTTGTGTTACTGGTATGTATTTTTTTAATATAACTACCTTAAAAAAAAAAAAAAGAAAAAGAAAAAGAAATCTATCTACCTACAGAAATACCACAATTCATTTAGCTTGATTTGGTGGCTCTTCTTTGACTGCATCCTTGCAAAGAATTCGGCTAACTTTGCCTTTCCTATTTAATAGCATATATAGGTTTATTTTCCCCTCTCCACAGGCAATGATTGCATGGTACGTGATGAATAACTTTTTCAGGGTTACTTCCCTATAAAAATTCACAGTGACCTATTTTAAAGAAATGAGATTTTGTTGTTGCTGTTGTTGTTTAACATAATTGCGTAATATAAAATTCATACTATAATTTGCAGCTTCGGTAGCTTACAGAAAAAAAAAAAAAAAAGACTTCAAGCTCTTTAGTTAAGAACCAGGTCACATGTTACTTACAATCTGCTCTCTTTCTTCCAGTGCAGACACATCAGATAGCTTCATCCTGTCCCTTGAGGTCTTCAAAAATTCTACTTTTGATAGGAAATTGGCTATAATTTAAGCTGTGAATCTGTCTTAACTTTCCTTGGTACCTTTAAATGCTTCTACCACCTAGCTTTAGTCAGATTTTACTTACTGCTTTAGTGCAGGAAATCCCGATTCCCAGAGCCACAAAACCCCCCAAACAAACAAAAAACCCAAATGAGCCTCAACAAGTAGTCTAAATTCTCAGAAGAGGAAATATTTCTTGATTTAACAGTAACTGTACAGTATTACAAACTCAGACACATGAAAAACAATCAGGCAATAGAAAATGTACAACAGCTTTGGTGTTATACAAAATAATAAAAAAGACTTGACAGCAAGATACATAGTTCATTATGTTCTCACCACAGCCACTTCACTGCTTACTCTAAGACAGTTATTTCCTTCTTTTTATATTCTCTCTGTGGCTTTCTACTCAAGAAAAATCATACTATATTACTGTAATAAGAATTGTTATGAACACCATAAAGTAATCTCCAAATTTTATAAAAACATCCTGCCTCCTTGCACTATTGCTTTGTGGCACATTGTCAACAGAACAGCAGTCCAAAATAAAGTGACAACTAGATTTAATAAATTAATATACTTTTTTAAAGATGTACAATGCACATTCTTTTTAATTCAAGGTTTTAGGGCATCAGGATACTTCTATTTACACATATACAGACCTCAGACAGCATTGATAACATCAGAAAATGCAGATAAAGGAACAGAGCCTTAACTGCTCTCTGGATGCTACAACAGAAGCCAAAAACACTGCTGAGAGTATTATTGGGAGAGATGTCCAAAGACCGAAGACAAGTCTATGAAAAAGGACGTGTAAAGGCAAAGGGAAGGTCAAGATGTTTAACACGACCATTCTATTCTTGTGAAGACGGAGGTGGAGTTGTTGATGTGCCTTGTTTACCAGATTTTCGCTCATAATTCACAAGTCGTTGCCCAACGAGATACCTGTGGTTATAATAAAAACACCGAGAAATTAACAAAGTTAGTACTACATAACTTTGTAACTTGTAACATAAAAATCACTCTATTCCCTTTACTGCTGGAGTCGCTTTTTCACTTCAATAAAACTTGCTATTCTACATATGAACACTTAAAATGGTTGCCTTCGACCATCTTCACTTTTTCTTTAAATTTTTCTCAACTTTCAGGCAGCTCAGAATGAAATACAGGCATTACGAGTTTGCGCCAGCAGCCTTAACTCCAGGGTCATGCAATTCAGATATGTGTAACCTGAATAAAGAAATGAAATATGAAAAGTGTGCGTTTGCATATTTATATTTCCAGCCCTATAACTGGGGAAATGTCTTACCACATCTTGAAGACTACAACATTAGCAATGACAGTATATGCATGCATACAAAAGCACCACCTTAAGCTAAGCTAAGCTGATTTTTAACGATGATGACAACATATGCATGCATGCAGAGTAAAGCAAGAAAAGATCAATTTAACTGCTTTTTCAAGTAAACCAAAGCACTTCTGTAGAAGCGTCAGATACTGCTATGAATTCTTCATCTGAAACCTACTATTTCCTTTAGAAAAGTCTTCACCACCACTCCTTTTCCCGCTTTACCATAACCAAACAACCGTTATATACTTTGGTACACTGTGAACGTCACAAAACTCGCATAAACTTTTGAGATCTGTTACAGGAAAGCACTAAGCATACTTTTTAGACTATAAATCTCCACTGGGTAGCATGTCTACGTTTACTTGCTCACTGCAATCTGACCATTAAGTTGTAACATACAAACTTCTTTTCTACAAGGATAAACATCCTTGTAGAGTTACAATACTCTCTTAAATAATAATTTCATTTAATATCAAAGTAATTTTCACTTACAGATATTTTTACAGCTTTGTGTTTATAGTTTACATGCCATAGTTCACATCAAAAGAATTGAAATATTAATGCAAGTTGCAATTCAAGCCACGTTCTACCTTACAGATACTAACATTTAGCTCAGAACCCACTTGCAAAAATAAACAACAGCCACGTTTACTACAGCACGCCAAATACTACAGAACATGTTACAAAGGCAGGTGAGGAACAGTATTTAAACTAACTGATAGAATAAAAGGTGATAAAACATCGATTGGGGCTGCTTAGGTTTTAATTTTAGTCATAACTCTTACTTCTAGATTCTACAAATTTCCGTATTTGCACCAAACACACCTTTTAATGCATCAATACCCTTCTAACATTGAAGGCAGGCACAAGGAAGAATCAAAGCAGTCAATTTTGGGCTTGAGATTGGACTCCTTTTAGGCAGTGAAAAGAAAAGCTGTTCTAGGGTAATTCAGGATATGAATATAACACAGAACCACTTATTCCTACGAATACTAGCAACTGGGGTCTAACACCAACGTTTCCAAATAAACCCCACAATAGTGGAACTGCACAACACACTAAGTAGGAAAGGGCATAAAAAGCAGTAATAAAAAGGTCCGATGAATATATTAGGAGAAACGTGATAGAAATCTTAGTTCCTGTACTTAACCGATTAAGCGAGCAAACAATATACGTTTGCTGAAAAATCTGAAACATCTAATGTCTTGTTGTCTTCAACTTCGGAAAAATTTTTTAAGATAATTAGGCGCATTAAAAAAACAAAGAATAAATACAGAGGCATAGAAGAGCGTAGTTTAAGACTTTTAAAAATGAATTTTCCCAGAAGAAGGGGAAAAAAGTTTTTTTGAATATTTTAAACAGATAGCTGCATTCAAATCTAAAAGATTCAGTCTTATGTACTCCAGCATCCTTTGGGACAAGGTGAAGCAGGATCAACTTCGAGAAGAAAAGGCATTGTTTTAAAGGACTAGGGAATATAGGTAATAAGAACAACAAAAAACAGCCTTAATCATCATAACCAGAAAAACACTGGGAAAATTAACACTTTTATCTGGAAGTTGATCTGAAAAATACAGATCAATAATTACAGAAAACAAACAAAAAAGAAGGTCAAGAATTTGGTGAAGACAAAATATATCCATTCAATTGAACTTTTTTTCTTTTCGCAATAGACTTAAAACAGTACCAAAAAAAAAAAAATCAGAAAACAATTATGCAGAAAAAGTTGAAGATATGGTTTTATAAGCAGCAGATCGATACAAAAGTTTACTTTCAAATGTGTAAAATGTTATTATATTCACTTGTCCTTCAAGGCTGCAGAAGGAGAGACAAAAGTGTAACCAGAGCCATTTGTGGTAGAGATTTCAGTCAGACATAATGAAAAGTCTTCCATTTATAAAGACAGTCTGTCCCTGTGCTTATCTACCTGAAAAACAGGCAAAACAAACATTTGCCATAGACAGTTCAGATCTGCCTCCAATAGTCATTTCTCTAGAAAACTTCTGATATCCCCTTCTAGTGCTAAGTTTCTAGAACATCTGGATTCACTCAACCTGACTCTGTTACCATGATTTACAGTGGAAAAATAATTAAAAAAAACATACTATATACTCACTTGTCATTTTTAATATGCTCATAAAGGCGCTTGAACTGGCGGACTTGGAAGGAAAGGATTCCCATCAAAACCACCACCATGAGCAGAAAAGGGTAAATCCGACGCTGAACTAGGTTTTGCATCTCAGCAGTAACGCCTGCAAAACAGGATAGGACCCTCATATAAGCTAACAACGCTGAAGATAACACATGCATTTCTGCTTCTACCCCTTCTTCCACTTTCTATTATACTGAAACTTCAGTAGCAGGGCAATAAGATCATATATTTATACATCTCAGATCTAACATGACAGCTGTTTTTTTTTCCTCTCTATCTTAAGCACTAAATTTCAAAGACTTCAAAGATTTCCATTAACACAGTGAAAATTCACAGTGCATATGAGCTCTGCTTGCTTATCGACTTCTCTATACCTCATGTCAGAAAAAGTGGATACTACAGAGTCTGCATTCAAGTGAGAGGTTAGAGAATAAAACAGAACTTACTGAACATCCTGTTAATATCAAAATATCAACAGTTTGCCTTTTGTTGATAACACAGCACACTTGTCCTGCTTCTGATAAAACTGCAATTAATACCAATTTTTATTTCATTCCATAATGAGGAGACAGGAAAATCTATAAAAGCTCTATGCTTACAATTCACATTTTATTTTAAATAGAATGGAAATATTTTAATACTGAATGAAAACCTCAAACCAAAACTAGTATTTTCACCTGTTCTAAGCTTCCTTTGAAGTTTGACAAGTCAAAAAAAAAAAAAAATCCTCAGCTCAATATACCTCTTAAAGAAAGAAAAAAGTTAAAGGCTGAGTATCTGAAGAAACTAGCCAAACATCTCTTTCCCAAACTCATTAGATACCTACATTTCTGCTGCAAGATATTATTCTATCCCATAATTTCTTTTTTAATTCTGCACTTTAATTTATTAGACATCCAGTCAGAACAATGTATTGTATTTCTCATCCCCAAACTTTAAGAAAAAACAGCAATAATTAAGCATTTCAATTGGTGGCAGAATAGTGTCTCTTTCTAATAACCTAGAACTTCAAGTTTGATTTACACAAATACACTTACATTACTTTACACCATGAGACAAGAAACAAGTATTCCAAATGTTTACATACCTAATAAAGGTACAACACCAGAGGCTATGATGTAAGGTACACACAGGGAAAGTAACAGAACAGAGATTACAGGTGCCGCCAGTTTACGAATTATGAAGTGTAAATCAATGTTACGAATCCCATTTGCATATACCTACGAAGAACAAGTTAGAAGTAGAAAGGATCAATCAAGAGGCATGCTTTGTGCTCACAGGAGTCCTTACAAGGTTTTACACAACTTTCCTCATCAGAGGCAAAGGGAACTCCTAACTTGATGAAAACCACAATGGCCACAGTCTGAGGAGGAAATTCTTTCTGTACTGTTCTATGTCATTAGGGTCCAGAAAATCATGTCAGTAGCGCTGAGGAGAACATAGTCTAGAACAGTGTTGGGATTTGGCAGCAGGAGTACAAGAGGGTCCCTGAAAGATCATTAAATAGAGCTGCGGATGACAGTTTTGTTGGTGACACGGGATTACGGTGTTCTGCTAAGCTGCTGAAGACTGGTTGAAAGAGGATTCTGCGGATGCTGGTAGAGTAAACCTATTTAATTTGGTAACACTTGCAAAAAATAGGAGGATCTAAAGTATTCTCACACACCCGTGGCTAGGCAGACCAGAGCTCCTCTATGCGGGTCTGTGGCTGAAGACAAAGACTCTACAATTCTTGAGTTTCTGCAACTGCTACCAGGAGCTGAGAGGTCTCAACATGTCTAGACTAATCACGGAAAAAAGACCGACTTGAAATGGCTGGCACATATAGCCAGAGAACGGTCTCTGTCCCACAGCTTGGCTGTACCCAGCTGTAAAGACGGCTCAGAATTTGAGGTTTATTTTTGTTCTACTGTTAAATGTAGCTTAATGGATTGGGTCATACAATTGAAAAGAATTTTCAGAGACTAGTTATGTTAATACTACAACAGAAATTCCATTTTCTATGAATGTTTTTTGAAAGCATTAGAAACGCTTTATACAGATAATTCACACGGATAATTTTTCTTACCTGTTCAATAACAGTTTTCAGCCACCACTGGGGACCCATCAGAGTTATGGCAGCAATTATTTTGGCATGCAGAACTCCAAGAGCCCAGTCCTAGTTTTGTAAAAACAGTTAATATTATCAACTTTTTACATATTTTGATAACAAACTTTTTAGAGCAATTTATTAGTTTTACTCAGAAATGAATAACGTAGGAAAGTAATTTTTCTATTTACAAGGGGAACTGTTCAAAAGAAGAGGCATCTTTAGGAAATTCTTAAAAAGAGAGGGTGCTCTCAAGCTTAACTGATATTCGTAAAGTACTCAGCTGCCTGGAACCATAAACACCAGCTAATAATATTAAACCAAAGGCAAAAATAAAACAAAAACATTACACTTACAGCAACAGACTAGTATTCTGCTACAAATTAACTAACATTGGTAACATGTAAGCAGAAATAAGCTATTTCAATTCCTAAAAGAACCAACCAACCAACCAAAAAAAAAAAACAATATGAAGATGCTCACACAAGTCAGAAAACAGGATTTTTTCTTGCCTTTTTTCCCTTTTACATTTTAAACTGTTCAAAAAAAAATCTACCTGATGTCAGCACTGCTAAACAAAGCACGACAGTGCTGTTTACAGGAGGATGTCATACAATCCAGTGAAAAGTTTACTCTAACATATAGTGCAATCATTACAGCATGGGATTTTAAAAAAAAAGACAGAACAAGACATCTGTTGTTTAATCAACTTAATTACACTGCTGGGAAAGCATATTTTCTTTTAATTAAATTATTTTAAAAGACAGTCTTTGTTAATATCCATGCTCAAAAATTTAAACAATTATTACAAAAAAGGTGTTAATGTTGTTTCAAAGTACCTTGTATGTTTGCTAAAGCATGTAACCTTTCTAGAACTCAAGATTCCCTTTTGTGACAAATGGAAATTATTCTCCACTTCAATAACTCCCTTGTTAATTTAGAACAAACCTGAGCTCTAATCTGATATTTTTAGGAACCTCTACCACACGAAAATAAACCCCTCCATTCTATTTAATCTCAAACTTCTATAGAACTAACATGGACAAATTAAAATTTTGCAGGTAACCCCCGGCATTACAAATTTTTTCCAAAAAGATGTGAAAATCACTACCTTCCACCACCGCAGTGATACGATGTCCTGACTTACTAGTAATTTACTTAAGAACTAACACCTCTAAAGAATACACACATTAAGAATACACACATTAAGAAACTAATTAGTGGACAAATTTTTCTTTGTATAAGACCGTCACATATTCGAATACTTAAAGTAAATAAAAGCTTGTTCGTATACAGCTTAGAAATTGAGCGTTTTTGAACGTTTTCTTGTTATTTGGTAATATGCTTTCTAGGTCTTTTGAGTTCCCTCAATTAAAGTGCGAGTTAAAAGCTTTCAAGATTAAGAGTAGGATGAGACAAGCATCTGTCATTCAATCTGCACTACCTTCATTTCCTCCACCAAAACAGGGGGGGAAACACTTGCACTCCCTTAAATCTTAACCTTCGAGACTCTGTTAACAAGTAAAGCCAAATATTACTACCTCAAAATCTTGTATTAATGATTTGACATCTCAGCTTAAACCAGAATGATCCTAAAGCATATCAAACTTCATTCCTCGTGTGTATCATCTGGGAAAAAACAACAATCAAACCTGCTGCTGCCAAACTGTAGACAGAAAGATTTCCGGAGAAGCTATTCATGTGCATGCATGCATACATATAGCTACACTAACTTCTGTACATAATTTGAAAATTAAGCTACTGAAAACCCCTCTGTATCTGATTAGTGAAATACAAAGATCCTCTGAGGTTATGGGAGAGTTCAGCTCTTCACACGTAGATTATTAAGCATACCCTTTGGGTTTAATAATATCCACATCCAGATCGCCTTTACTACATGGAAACATACCTACAGGAAATGCTCTGAGGCCCTGAATCAACGAGAAACCATAACTCCTGCAACTGTCTTACTCCTATATAAAGGAATGCATCAACAGCAGAACAAGAGCATTGGAAAGCCTGACATACCAACCACTGAGCAACTGACCTGCCAAGGATAGAAGAGAGGTGTCTGATCCAGAGGAACTCTCAAAGGTGCAACGATTACCAGTTCAAATAGAAGACCAAGCAAAAGTGGAACCACACCAGCTAGCAGCACAGCCACTATCAGTGTCTTCATTATCTTCAAAAAACCCCAAGACACGTAATTAACATATTTATCAGACGATTTTTTTGTTTAAACTTAAAAATGCAAATTAAAGCATGCAAATACATATAGCTGGAAAAAAAAAAACCTACCCAGATCTTCCACTCATATATCTACCCCTAAAAATAATTTTCATTACATACCAGCTTTGCAATCCAAGTTTTCAAGACTGGGTCCTATTCCACTCCCTGCCCCCAAAAGCATGACTTACCTAATTGAACCTTACACTGAATTTTTTTTCGTATGTTGCAAAATTACAGAAAAATCTTTCCAAAACTCCTTTTTTTTTTTCCCCCCGAGTTAAACTCAAACCTTTTAAATCTACTCATTATGGAGTATTTCTGGCTTGAACAAAAGACTCAGTTAAGGTATTATGCCTGAATCCTGCTTCATTCTAGAATTCTTTTAGTTCGAATTCATTAACCAAAAATCTGATACAAAAGTAGTATAATCTAATAACATGACAGGGACAAAGGACAAGTATTATAATTAAGCTCTGCGTTTCCTCTAGGCAAGCTTAAGATTTCTAAAGTGAAAATGGAGAATGAGATATTCAGGAAAGAATAAAATATGGAATACATGCATACACTGCTCTTCTGTCTGTAATAGTCTCATAAAAAGCTATTGCAAGCACGTCCTTCACAAGGTACCATTTATGCTATGGATACTTAAAAATACTTTATTTAGCCAAAAAAAAAAAAAACAACCCACTATAGAAACCCTCAGAACCAAAACCTAGATAAAAGGGTGGGATAAATTTACTGTCATGGTGAAAATTTGAACTTATGATAATAAAAAAGATTTTTTTTCTTTAAAAACATTCGTTTGAACAACACAGATCTCACACATCACAAAGATCTTTTCAAAAACACGCAAACTACTTTTCAGAGACATTAAATTTATCACCATCTGTCAGCTTTATTAGTTTATTTGGTAATGTCAAGTTACTAACCAAATAACAGTTAAGTTTCCAGGTGTATATGAAAACGTCAATAGATTTGAGACCACATAATGTATGGGATAATAAAATGCAACATATTCACTTTTAAAGGAACAGAGAAAAACATTCATGTATATAAAAATATGCACACAAGCTTATTTACACTGATTGCTTAATATTCTGCTAAATGGTTTCCAAAAGAACAGTTAGTCTATGGAATAGAAACATATGTTGTTCAAACTTCAAGATGGGCTGAAAAGGAAAATGCAATATACATTACAGGATAAAATCTGAAAAGAAAAAGTAACAACCCGTCTTCTTAGTTTTTTTTGGATACTTTATTAAAAATCTCTCTCAAAACTCACCATGAGAGACCATTCTTTGACCTTCTGAAAAATCACCCTACGACCCTGTGGCATCCAGGCAACCAGCACTGTTACCGCTCGAATACTTAGCCAACAGACGTAAAGACCACAAGCAGCCGTGTACAACTCGTGGATTTTGGCGGTCCCCGTCCAAAATGACATTAACCATCGACCAGCAAATACTGAAAACACAAACACTGTTAAATAGAGTAATGGTTTTTGATGTATTAAGGAAGGATGCCCATAAAAACATTGATAAAATTTATCGTTGGTTATTAAGGTGCAAATAACACTCAACATAAAATAGCAATTTTGGTACTATGCCCATATAAGGCATGAATGCGTGAGGCTCTAAATAAAGTTATGCAAATAATGCCAATATGCATGTAGATTATTTCATTACACTACAATAATGTGATCTAAACTACAACAAAGCAAAACACTGATCGCTACACTATTTAGAGCCTAAACATTAATCTTCAAAACCTCAAAGGCAATCACAGATTAGCACATAAGTGCGAACTTAAATCTTAAGGGCTATGCTTGAGTAATTTCACTGCCTCATATAATGCTTTAAGACTTACTGATGGGGTTTCTGAAGCTCTCCTACTCACTTGCTGTATTTAATTTTTTAAATACAGTGTTCCTATTCAATAAAATTATTGTGCAATTATTTGTCTATAATATTAAAGCTATCACAAGGTTCAGAACTCAGACCTCAATACATTATTGACTTAAGGAGCGCTTTAAAAAAAAAAAAAGTGATAAAAATGACCTGGTCCTACAGCTGCTAGATTTTAGGATTCCTCAGCCAACTGTGTTCGAACAAGTTGACATGCATTAATTTGTTGCCATTAATTGAAAAGCAATTACAAAGTGCTTTTGCTTCAGTTAAGGTACTGGGTCATGCATATGGGGAGACTGGCACGTATATCAACACTGTATCACACCTAAAGGCTATGCTAGAAAGGCTCTAGTGACCTGCTATGATGGACCATTTCAGAAGTAGTCAATTAAAGAAGATACAATGTAGAAGATCTGGTAATAACCTATGTATTTTCCGTCTTCAAACAGCAAAGCAGGTGCAAGATTACTAATTCTCTTTCTCTCAATACTGCTACAGAGATTGCTTCAAAACTTGGGGCCCTCCCCTTAAGGAAAAAAATCTACAACAAAACAAAGCAAATGTCAATTTCTTCTCTTCTGAGCTGTAATTTTGGTACAGGTATTATCTCCAGCTTTGATAAAGGTTCTCTCTCTCATTTACAGTTTAGGCTACTTTAGGCTACATTATGAAGCTGCTTCCTTAAACATGAAACACTACTTTTCCATATTTTCTTCTTAAAATACCAAGATAATACTTTAAACCACCTATTATTGTAGAGCATGTCTGTTCTTTTAATTATAGTTCTACAGTAACAGACTTACCTGGCAATGTAAGGCAGATAAGACTAGCAATCAGTAATGTTATGCACATGAAAACAATCAGAAGAAATATCTGAAAGAGGGAGGGGGGAAAAAAAAGAGGAACAGGACGGAGTTACTTAACCAAAGCCATAAGACATACAAAAAGATGTATCATCCTAGAAAGCAGAATACAAGGCAGCTAAAGACAGAACATTTGTATGGTTTTCTGCTCAAATACCAACTGGTGTTTCATTGTATACATAAATCACCACATAAGATAGCCACAGTACATGCGGAATGTCTAAAAAATGTTGTGGATTTCTTTTAAGAGTTTTCCCTCAGTTATCATAATAATAAAAACTAACATTTGAATCCAGAAAAAACAAAGTTCTTGGTTCCTTGACATTAAAAAATAATCTCTATCGCTGCACTGACCAACACAATGGCTTTCAATTAATCCTGAAATGGTTCTAATTCTGCAAGTCATATAAGAAATATAATGATTTTATAATAAGGAAAACCTTGCTGAGAAAGTTCTTACATTTGCCCTCAGGTCTATGTGACCAGCAGCTGAGCTTAAACTTGATGGCTCCTTGGTCAGGTTTCCAGCTGTTCAAAGTATTCTCATTATTTGACAGCTTTAAGTACTCCGAGTACCACATGATATGAAGTTTAGCTTCACTACTTACCCAAACTGCATAACAAATATGCTTACTAGAGGAAAACTAACACTATATCGTAACAGACTCCCGAGAGAAACCTAAATCTGTAACAGTTTCTTGGATGAGACTTTTTGGGACAGTGCAGATCAGTCTCACCTCCAAGCTAGCATCTCCAGCACGGCCTAAAGGAAGGAAAATCTTACGGTTGGTTAGGCATCAGCCTGGGTGAAGATGGATGATTCCGCAATAGCCAGGTACTTACCAGGTGATAGCCACACACCCTTTTGCACCGAAAATACCCTCGTTAGGGGAAGGGATCCAAAATGATAGAAAGACAAAAGCCAGAGTAGCAGACAGCTAGACTGCAGGTAGAAATTTTTCTCAATTGTGAGGAGCACATGGTGTGACTTGCCTGGGACCAAAGCTGTCTAAATAGTCACGTAGGGAACGATGGGGAGAAGCCAGTGGTGACGATCCACGTGGGAACAAACACAAGAAGGAGGAGGAGATAGAACTAATGATGATTAAATACTAACTCTGAAATGCTCCCAGTGACAACTGCAGGATCAGACAGATAGGTCGCAATGTGCAGCTGTTAAAATAGTGTAAAGAAAGGTTTAGATTCACTAGAAACTGCGAAAATTTTTGGAATATATGGAGCCTGTATAAGAAACATAGGCTCCACAGAAGCCAAAACAGAAAACAGGTAGACATCCCTTACAGATGACGCTGTATCTTCAGGGAGGAGGACAGAGGGAAGTCATTAAAGGCTTGCATCTTTAGAACAAAACCTGACAAAATTCCAGAAGGAAGCGGCAAAGAGCACTCTGAATAATTAAAGGCTATTTGAAGAGAACACACAAGAATAAGCAACCGTATCTACACCACACGTATTTAGAAGCCTAAAAACCTTCTTGTTAAGATGTATGAAAGAAGCGTACGGGTGAGGAAGAGCGCTGACACAGCAGGCATGTGAGAAACTTGATGGAATGAAGATAGCCAGAGGAGCACTCATACTACAAAACAGAATTTGTAGGAGCGATGGAGCGGGCTGCACTAGCAGAAAGACATGCTACACGTTAAGAAAAGCTTAGCACCAAAGAAGGTGAATAAGCAAGTTGTATTAGCAAGAAATTCCACCCTAAGGATTGAAATTCCATGCCTAATAGGAACAGTAGCAGTAATAGGGCTACTTACTCTACTGAGTACTAATTTATGATGACAACAGTGACCTGTACCATGCTAAAGGACATCAGAAAGCTGGCAAGGGCAGAAAACTAACACTAACTGGAGAATTCAAATTACCATAATGCAATTAGGTATCATGCCAGGGACTAAAGCTGATGTAAAGTTTTTAAACACTGCTGATGCTTCTTGGACCAGCAAATCTAAGAACCTACAAAAGGAAGAACAAGTCTTGACTTGGTCCTAAAAAACACACAAGTGGCTAATCACTGCCATCAAAGAACCACTCTCGTGGTGAGTGCAACGTATGAAGACTCAAAGCTCTCACAAGGACAGCCCTTCCCCCTCAAAAATTCACCACAGTAATATCATTTCAAAAATGGGAAGTACTTAAAAATGAGGAAATGTATTACAAGCAAGTAGAACGAAGTAGACAGAAGGAAAAATGCTCACAGGCCATGTGTTTAAATATATGAAAGTGAAGGTTTGGCACAAACACACACCACCCATCACAAGATTTATTAAATGTCACCCAAAATCTGTCACAGTAAACAGCAGAATAAAAATGGCTACCAGAAGACGACATTTTGCAAAAGGTGAAAATAAATCCACAAGAGAAAAAAACAGAAAATGGACAAATTCTGGTAAGTGAAATCCTAAACTATAATAAGATAACTCCACCCCCTCGCAAAAACTTTAGAAATAAGCTATAACGGCCGTGAAAAAAAATAACAGTAAAATTTCTTTTTCTAAAGAAGTCTTTTTCAACAATGTTCGGTAAATAGAACAATAACAACTAAAAATTCTCAGAAAAAAGCTTGCCAGAGTTTGCAGGCTTTGCTGAAAATTAAGGCTTATAAAAGGATGGCTCAAGGAAGACAAGGCAATAGCAGGAAAATTAAACTGATTTTATACATCAGCATTTGTTCTAGAGAGATTTTGGGAGGAGGTTCAGGCATCAGAACCTTTGTTTACAAAAGGGATGAACTGGAATAATTGTCTAGATTGCCTGATAAAACTGAGAAATAACGAACTGTCAGGATAAAATGATATTTGCCCAGGAGTTCGAGAAGGAAAGTGCCTTGCCACCAGAGGAATGGGAGGCTGGAAAAAACAAAGCAAAACAAAAAAAACTAAACTATTTTAAATAGATTCCACAGAGGTCCACAGATCCTACAGGGCAACTAGTCTAGAAATTAACATAGAATATAATCTATAGACAGCTATGATGCAACAGCAGAGAGGTGATACTGCTCATGTAAAGGAAAAGGAAAATCTGAGCAGCTGAAGAAAACTGCCCAGATTCCATGGAAAAGCCGACAATTATGAAAACAAGCATGACAACCCACAGTGTATTCCAATTAAGCAGGTAAGATTTTAAACAGCAGATTAAGCTTGGAAAAGAATGACGGAAAGTATACGACATAAAATTGACATAAAAAAAATCATGAATGGCACACTGAAAAGAAATTTGAAACAATTGCTCACTGTTTATCGTAACACAAAAGTTACAGGAAGACTGAAGTAATTAAGTAGCAGGCAATAAAGGGTGGTACTTTTCAGACAAAACAGTTAATTAAGCAGAAGAATGCCTTGACATCAGATGTTAAAGATACCGTATTATATGCCTTCAAAAAGTACACAAAAATAAACGAAAGAAAAAAAATCCATCAGGTACTATTAAATACACAGCAACTGAGGCAGAAGACCCATAATTTGTATAGGCTTTTATGAGGAATAAAAAAATATGCCCAATCTTTTTATTAGCTCTGAGATTAACAGTGTATACTCAATTAAAAAAAAAAAACCAAAAGAAAAAACATATCCATGGTTTGACACGCTTATTTGTAACTCTGAAATAACATTAAAAAAATCAGTTCTTATTCCCTGCTCAGCTCATATGGACACAGTGAGTTCCAGTGGGAAATATGTACATAATAAAAAAAACTGAATATAAAATTCCTTTTCCCAGGTTGTTTTAACTTGATTAAATAAAAAATATTAAAGAAAGCAGAAAAGAGGTCACAGATCTTTACAATGTCTTCTCCGTCCCCTCACCAAATGCTTAAAATCCCAAGTAAGAAAATAATTAAAATATGGGGTGGTTCCATATGGCTCAGTCTCTGCTGATTTCTATTACGTTTAACTCCTTTAAATGTATTATTTCTTGCTGGAAGTCTGGGCTGGAAACACATTTTTAATGAAGTGAACCTATCCAAGGAGAATCAAGGTCAACATCACACACAGGATCACATCTGAAGCAACTACAATGATGAATTATTCCTTATTTAATAACGGAAACAGATGGAACTAGGGACATAACATCGCATCAGGGAGCTACTACTGCATCTCTGAGTTGGCAAAGTGGTCATCGTATTTCTTGATGACAACAATGGAAAGAAATTCAGGTACATTTGATTCTTTTTTTTTTTTTATTTCTGCTTTTGGTAGAAGTCTCCAAAGAACAACCTAAAACATCTAGGCAAAGGAGAGCAGACCAGAAAAACAAAGTCTTTGATAGCTGAATAGGAAACTGGTTAGCTTGTATCACTAGTTCAAGGCCAGTCCTGAAAATTACTGAAAGCTCTGACTTTGCAATAGCTTAACTGAGAGGGGAATTGAGAAGGGGAGGCTATTTCAGTCCATGTCCTTACCCAGTGCTATCCACCAAAATAAAATAACCCACAAAACAGCAGATCCAGAAAGGAGGATTTAATGAGTCTCTGCATTAACAAACCTCTTCCTGGAGAGCAGCAACTCCACATTACAGATCTTATATATTGCCAGCTCACAGTAAATAACATTGCCTTTTAATTGCCTCCTTGGCAGCCAAACAGGGAATTAACTTCAATTAACCTGTCTGTCGTCCCAGCAGCTTCATACGAACTTGACTCAGTCTAGTTGAAAATATCATAAATATGACATGTTCTCTAACAATAAAGTCAAGTTTTATCCAGACTTCCAAGTATCTCTACCCAATGCCTTGTGCATACTAGATCAGTTTTCAGCTGGATCAGCTTCCTGACCCAGCTCATCACATGAATGTTGCAGCACTGGCATTCATGCTAAAAACGGGAGAACGGAGCAGCTACTGTAGAAGGATGAACGCGAACATCCCTTTCAATAGACCTGCATATTTATGCTAAGCCACAGAGTCACACCATGCTTTGCCTTCTTGCTATGACTAAGCTGGTGTAGCAGTAGCTTCTATGAGAGGGGTAAATTCATTCTGTCTCTCAGTCTTTTCATTCCTGAGCTACTTCCTCCCACTGTTTCCTCTGCAACAATATTGTGTTCATATGCTCCTGTGGTGACCCATTTTAGGGAGCTAAAACGGCAGCGGCCACTGTAGTTCTTGTGCTATACCTGAAACAGTGTGAGTTCTGCTAAATTTACGTTTGATTAATTCAGAGTTCTGGTAACAACAAAAAAATTCATCTAGGTTGAGCCCTATTATTCTAGAAACTTAAATATCTGCCAACAAGCATGTCCTTTCTTATTGTAAGGATTTAGAACTTTAAAGTATTAAAACATCTGCACCTTTTTGTGTTTAATATAGACACAACATAAGTCCACCATTTAATCTTATAATAAGGGAAAAAAGCTTAAGAGAAACTCCAGCTACACGACCAAAGTACACCTAATAGAAAACTATGCCTTGTTAGAGATCGTCCTGAATTATATGTTTCCTGGGAGGTTAATATACTTCTCTCCTCACTAATTGTTAGAAAAAGAGGACGTGAACTTCTTACAAATAACATACCACAGCATGTATGGGATCTAATTTAAAAAAAAAAAAAAAAAAAAAAAAGAAACTGCAGGTCTAAAAGTTACTAGCTGAAAAACGCTATATATGAGAATAAGTTAGAAATATACTTCCTAACAACATGTAAATTGTACAGTATACAATATAAGGTGAAACACCACTTGATTTCTCACGAACTGTAGGCCATCAAATCTCTCTTACATATAAATTGCACGTTTTTCAAACCTCTTTCACTTTCATCTTAATACATTAAATATACCTACCCTGAGCGGGAATTTTAAAGGCCTACGATAAGGCTGGAAGCCCACAGGTCCTCCTTGTTGAAGTATGGCTTGATGGGCTGCATGCAGACCTTCTCCCACAACTGGAATGGCATTGTTATTGCGAGCATGTTGGTTGTTAGGCTGCTGGTTTGCATTGTTTTCATTCTCTTCCTGGTCACCAAGCAGGTAAGAATGGAGGTCCCTGTAACGGTCAACAAAATTCAGTTCAGTTGTTTAATACGAATGAGAGCCTTACAGTAATACAGATACATTAAAGATGTATTCAGAATGAATACAAGTTGCACAAAATGAATACAGGAGTACTTGCAGAATCTTGAAGTAAAATAAACCATTTTCTGATAACGTACTAAGTGTCTTTTTAAGCATAGAAGTCAGAGGAAAAATGCTAGTGTGGATGCAGATTAGAACAGTGGAAATGCAGCCAGGAATAACAATCACTGATCTGCTTAACTGCTTTATAGCAACATCTAGTATTAATGCTGTTATATACATATAAAAGGAAAATTGCATCAACATTTTAGTTTGTGTAAGCAGGCAGCTCAAACGTCAGCTTTGATTTTACTGATATTAAACTCTACTGGAAATAATCGTGTTCAAACCTGAACTGTATAAGGACAGTACTGTATTGCTAAGGACACAGTATCACAAATACAGAGTTTAGTAAGACACCATCTTTCAAGAAGATTCTAAGTCACTCAAAAACTATTCACAACTTTCTGCTAAAATGAGTCCCATGACCAGCCAATCTACTTAAGAAGCATTCTATTCCCCATTCCCTGCATATGTCTTCGGCAAATAGATGTTTATTTTCGTCTGATAAAGGAAGAAGCACACCAATAGGAATTTGTAAAAGTTAATTTTTCTCTGCTTTAGCAAAAATTTTTCTCAGCAGCAAGATGGATGCAGAAATTCTAACACCAGACAATGACAGCATTTTCATAGCACTGCTTGCTTTTTCAGAAAAGCAGAGAAGATTTTCAACTTTGCTTAACTAAAAATGCTGTAAAAGTGCTTTACAACTGCTCGTAGCAACTGTAACAGTGGAAAAAGCAAAGTCATTTTAAAAATCATCTCTGAACTACTCTTCTTCCATCATGTTTAAATACTATCAAAACAGGGACAGACTGATTACAAAGATAACTTCTTAGAATGGAAGCCTAACAGTAAAGGTAAGTCAAAAAAAATATTTTGGGTTGCAAAAGAAGAAAAAGCCTCTCTATTTTCTTGGAGTCTTAGATAAGTAACTTAGCCAAGAATAAATCTTCATCCTTATAAAATCCTACGTGACTGACCCACAACGAGCAGGACACGATGGGAGAGTGGCAATACACTTCCAAATTAAATTTAAAAAATTTTCAGAAAACCAAACTTTTTTAAAATTCTTGACTAATTTGGCAAACAACGTATGAACTCAAAAATCATTTCAAGTGAAACAACTGCCTGGCAATCTAAATTAAAGAACCCCAGTTTGTGTTCTTTTTTACTTTAGGGTACAAATACACTGTTTTGTTCTTTAAAGACTGAACTTTAAAATTCCTCATTTTATTACTTTTTTCAGCTTGATGTTCTAACTCATTTCTCCAGTAATTTATTCTTTTGGCATATTATAAGCAAGAAATGTAACATGCGTATGTGAATTTTACTTAGATGACACACACAAATGCACTCTTGACACTTTTTGTTTCACTTCCGTCTGTAATAGGAACTTAAACTCTTACCCTTTTATAGGATTTTTACCAGGCAAATGCTGGAATAGCATAAGAAAAGGATTTCTTGTCAAAGACTAGTCCAGAGCTACAATTACTATTGTGAAGAAGGTTCTTCCACAGGAAATCACTATAAAAGTTTTTTTTAATCACACATCCGTAAAGCAGCTGTTAAAACTACTCTTCAACTAAATCTCTTGATTTGTTGTTTTGTTAAAAGGCTAAGCTGAATACAAGGCTTGCAGTCGATTTTGGCTTTCTGTACTTACAGCAAGTATCCAGCAGTAACAGTCCATGCTCGTACAAGACCTTTCAACCACTGTCTTGTGTGTCCTTGTTCTAGCAAAGCTGGAAGCACAACCTGAAGTAAAAGGAGCTCTAGGGAAAGTTCACTTACTGGAGCATCACTAGAAACAATGGGATGAGCACAAAGTCAAACACAAAGAACACTCCGATAGCAATCTGCTACAGTAGATTGTATCAACAGCAACACAACAAAAGCTATATTGGATGTCAACAGAAACAATTCCTAGGTTTTTGCAAACATTTTTCCTTATATGCTATTCTGAGCATTGGTTAAGCGCTCATGAGCGTTTTGGCATTCAGACGCACATGAAACTTAAGAAAATGATGAGAAATATTATATCCCACATCAGATGAAAGCAGAAGGAAGAGCAAGTCATACTATCACTGCTACTTCAATTGTTATTTAGAAGCAGAATAATAATATTGTCACTAAACAAGATTGCAGTTACAAACTCTCTTCTATCATATATTATCGAAACAGCGATCACTAGGAATCAGTATGTAAAATAAACGTTAGAATGACTTCCTTCACAAAAAGTTGAAGGGGAAGCTGTTTTGAAGGCATACAGAAATTAAACAAGCTATCCCTATGGAAACTATACAAGATGCCTTTTATTTTCTTAGCAGCTTTTTATTTGGCAAATTGTACTATGTATCCACATGCTCTGTTACTTTACTTTTCTAAAACAGACACTAAAGTGTCGGTTAATTGAAAAGGAATAAGATAACATACCAAAAATAATGTCAAATTAATGCTGGAAGAATTCAAGTACAGTTTTCCCTATTTACAGGGAGACTGAAAATACATCTTGTAGAAAAAGAAAAATGCCTACCTGTAGAGCATAACATTATATGGAAGAAAGCTAGGCAGGAGATACTTAATAATGCGTATAGGAAGCCAAAGCATGAGCAATACGATTGATCCAAAGACAATCTGCAACAAGGAAGTTTAATTAGTCTGTGAATAGCAGAACCAGCAAAACCTAGTTTTCCCACACAACTCTGACGGGTTCCGTAACACTCTCCCCAGACAGGATTGTGGCTGGATAAACACAGACTGGCTAGCTGGCAGTTTCACTAATGTCAAACAGCTCTACTTTCCTTCTGATGAGCTTTCACTGCTCAAAGCACTTCAGGAATATTAACATAGTATGTCAAACAACGTTTCTGGTTTAACCAGTCTTGACAGTTCACATGACACTTAGGCCAAAAGTAGCCCATGTGAGAAACTGTCCTTACTGCCTGCTAGGCAAACTTCAGACAAACAAGTTGAAGGAGATAACTGAAACTTTGTTGTTTCCAATATCCTACAGCAGGACGCTGGCAGATGCCACTGGCTAAATTGGCAAGACCCAAACCAAAACATACCAGAAAGCTATTCTACCCCTTCTGCACTACTCTAGCTGAATCGGACCCAGAATGTTTACTGCAATAACTAAGTGACTTAGCAACAAAGCTAAGTAACTTAAAACATCCATAATAATGAACATTTCTTGCCTGAACTCAGAAAAAGTTGATTTTTTTTGCATAAGGACTGGATATCATGCAATAATTTAGGTTGGAAAGGCTCTCTAGAGGTGATCTAGCCCAATAATCTTCTGCTCACAGAAGCCCAGCTACATTAGGTTGCTCAGAGCCTTACCCAGGCGAGTTCTGAAAGGATGGAGATTCTCTTAACTCCTCTTGGCAGTCTGTCCCAGTGTCTGACCACCTTCACGGTGATTTTTTTCCCTTAAATATGCAGTAGTGTATACAGCAGCTAAGACAGTGAGATTTTTTTTTTTTTGTTCACATAAAGAAATATGATGAAGTCCTTACCACTGATAATATAAACCTCCTGAGATGTCTATAAATGGGAAGGTGAATCATTTCCTGCACAGGATTAAAGTCTGGATCATTCAAATTCCTGAGAAACCATAAGACACCAGGTCTCAACACCTGAAGTGGGAAGCAGAAAACAATTTATGAAGAAAAATTATTTTTACATTCCTTGTTTTGCATTTTGCAGGACACTGCTACAGATAAAAACGCTTTAAACATAACAGGGGTATAAGATACAACAAGGTTCAAAAAAGGGTGCAGAAAATAGAATAAGGAAAGCATTACCAAGGAGGACTAGAGAAAGCAACAACCAATTAAAAGCTTAACTTTCAAAGATTAACTAGTGCTCAACAACTGAAACGCATTTAGATTCACTGGAAAGCAGCACTATGTTAAAAGACTCTTGGTAAACTAAGGATGTTCAAGCACTACTCTAAATCATCATTTTCAACTGCAGTAAGTACCAGCATGGCCATTTATACAACATAACACTGAAACCTAATATGCATACCAAACACAGCAGTAGCAATACCCAGCTGTGAAAGATCAGCTCAACACGGAATCTTCTATAACTACGTCACATAACAATCTCATTCTTACAAACTTACCTCTCTCAGTAAGAGAATGAAGGATGCAAAATAGAAGACGTAAACCATCCCAACTAACCAGTGCAGAAACATTGTGGTACCTGGGGCAGACTGAAAGCTCAATTCTCTGTCTTTCAAAGTGGCATCAAACATTTCCTAGAATGTAAGCAGTAAATAAATATGAACAAAGTTACTCATTTTAATTACCCTAGTTCACATATGCCACTTGGCATTTAATTTAAATGTCTGCCTCATGCTAACCCACAAATACTTAAGGATAGCGTTTAATTAGGGGAAAAATGAGTATTTATTAATATTTACACTAAGAACAGCAAATAAAGATGAATTTCCTATCCAGGTGACTTACAGAAAGAAAACCAAAATCAACTTGAACATTAACATCCACTATTTATGAATCAGTTCAAACTAAGTGGTTCTGTGGTGCAAACAAATACTTATTCCTATAAGTAAAATGATAATTCTAGTAAAGCTAGAAGAAATCAAATTTTGCCACTTAATTTTAACCACTTTAAAAAAATATTATTTACTTGTTAAAATATACACAACTGTTTTCCTCAATTCCAAGCAAGCACAATATGAATTTTTCAAAATAAAAGAGATCATACGACGCTAAAATATCAAGTGCTTACCATTTTCCATAAAACAGTCACATAAAGAAACTTATTCAGTACACTGGTTCCACCACATAGAACTTAATTCTCACAGTGGTCTTGTAAATGCAGTAAAAGGATTAGGATCTTATTTTTTTTTAAAATATCACATTTATTTCTATTAGGTTGTATAAAGGAAGACAAAATTAGCATTGAAGAGTACCTAAAAAAATAAAAAATAAAAAAAATCTTCTCTTTGGAAGCACTATGATGACAAAAACAAGCAGCGTGCTGTCCAACTCGTATCAACGATTCTCTTTTCATCAGAGCTTTTTTCCTTCAAATATAAGCACTGTTAAAAAGATATTTTTATTTCTATTCTTACCAAAGAGCATATATCCAACCACCAGCCACAGATGAGAGGAAACACACCAATTTCTACCACCACTAACAAGGAGACCTTTTGGGAAAAAAGAGAAATAACATCAAGTAACTCAGAAATCACTAACAAAATAACTGAGAGTTTTCATTTATTTGTCTGTTTGTTTTTTTAAACACAAAAACTAGGATTACCTTGACAACAATATAGCAAACGCCTAATAAACGACGCGATCGCTGGAACTTAACAAGGGCTGCCAAACCCTATATGGCTTTGTTAAGGAAATAATACTAAAAAACAGGTTGTAACACGCCCAGCAGATCATGGTTTAATTAATACGAAACACTATGTTATTTGGCTTTTAGCAGCAGCAAATTCTATGAAAGGCAGAAGTGAAAGAAAATACATATTTTTACCAGGGCTCTGTATTTTCGAAATTGACTCTGACTCTGGGTGACAAACTGATGTGCTGGATGAACCCACTAAAAGGGAAATATATTTCAAAAAGTAAGTATTTAGCATTTTCTGCTAAACATGCATCTTTCTTACAAAAGAAAACCTTCTTGAATTAAGCATCCAAAAAATCTCTCAAGAAATAAGCGGTTACCTTTGAAAATATATGCCAGGAATATCACTGCTAAGTTTTAAAGCTGAAGGTCTACCTTAAATTGCAGCTTTCTTTTTCAAGCAATCTGAAACAAACACCTTTTCCAAGAAAGCCTGGATGCATTTTAGAGTGGTTTTTTTCTTTTAGGAGACAGAGACACACAATCAGCTATCTTACCACATTTGTATTGGACCTCACATCGCGTGGTCTAAAGTTGATGTTAGCTTTGTGTATTACTGAACAGAAACTGCCAATAAATGTTTATTCTGTCAACCTGAAGCCAGTCTAGTCTTTTTAAAGACATGCAGCTGGAGCACAGAATTCTTGCTTGTGACCAAATCTTGTCAGTTTTCAGGACTCTGCTGTTACTATAAATATTAGTTTTTCCTGTAATAATGAGGGTTACCCACCTGAAAACAATGCTTGCTGCAAACTCTCAGTTGTTCAGAGACCACAGAAGAGAAACTAAAATAATCTGCACACTAAAGATCTAACAGAATCAAAAAGATGCAAGCAAACTTCCCGTCATACTCTAAGCCTTTTTATAGTCCTATTTCCCTTTTTGCTGCAACTACCTAGCCCACAGCAAGAGTATAAGGACAGGGAGGAAAGAACAATGGTTCCACATGCTACTACTCCTGGCTAGCTGTTCAAAATTTAGCTAGAGGCTTGCAAGAATGCCTTTAAACTTTCCTAACAGCTTACCATTTTGTGCTGTTAAACATGTCAAAGTGTTTTGAAGAATGCAGTCCCATTGACGACTTAAAAAGATCCCAAAAACAGAAAAGAGGTTTTCTTTTAATTTCACCAAAAGAATAGAGCAAAACGGTAACCTGGCTGTCTCTGCATCATTTCTGTGCCTCCCCGATATGTAGCCAGAAAGACTATTTACATGTAATATCTGGACCAGGTAACTGCTGACAAAAGGATACATGACAAACAATTAAAGTCACTGCGAGCAGCACATATCCAACTATAGTTGTAATCAGACCTTCAAAGTGAGATGCTTGAACCTGGAGGAAAGAAAAGATTTATCAGCCTAAGTGACTGCAGTTCCTTTTCGTGTAGATAAGGCAGAGTCCAAATTTCAGCTCTGCAAGAAGAATAACAAGTTTCTTTAGTTTTTACATATTTTAATACATTAGTTCTTTGGTATCTCCAGCAAGATTAGAAACCTTTACATTTACAAAAGACAACAAATAATGGCTTTCGTTAAACATGAAATGACCTCTGCATATGAAACAAAAGGTGTCCTCTTACACTACCTCCTAGTCTTCATTATCTACTATCATCAACCACGAAAAGTACTCACTACACAAATTAAAAATGCATCAGGAACAAGACATTGTTAAAACCATACACACATTTTTTTTGTCAAAGGAGGAAAGCTTACTGGAAGTTTAAACAATAGAGGAGATGGGAGAGAGAAAAAAATTTTAAGCACAGATTACAAAGGGGGTTTAAAGAGGAAAAAAAAAAAAGGCAAAAGATTTTCCAGGTTACTTTTGTGATTAAGACTAAAAGTGAAAGGATCTTAAACATTTTCAATTACACAAATTGAAGCAACTTTTATATCTTGAAATTATAAAACAGTACTTACATATTCCTCAAAACCCAGGCCAACAATGGAGAAGTGACCAATGTGGTAAGGACAAAATGCTGCATAATGTAAGTGGAAAGAAGGGGAGAAAAAAAAAGCCATGAAAAATGCTCACCGGAATCTTATTTGCAGGTTGTGTATTATAACACAGTAATTATTTTACTCCTCAGCAATTTCCATGCAAATATTTGCAAGTGTTATATTTCTATCATATCACAAACAATGAAAGTCAAAGGCACTCCAAATCCAAACATTACAAATTAAAACTACTAAAAGAAGAGTCTTTTCCTTCTTAGCTCATCTTGCTGTGTGTAAATCAATTCCACTTCTCTGTCTTGCATACGAGGTTGGTTTCAGTCACACAGCGCTGCAGGAACCTGTCTGTGTACTCCTTCCTTCACAAGCAGTGAAAGGGGTGGCCATTTTACATCTTGGTTGGACAGGAATCGCTTCAGTAAGGTATCAGCTTTAGTACTCTAATTCTCAAGACTACAAAGGCTAGAAACTGAAAACCGCAAGCCCTAAAGAAGTCTACAAAGGGAAAAGACAAGAGGGAGAAAGACAACGCTCCAATGAAGGGATCAGGATGAGGAGCAATCAGGAAGTCCCAATTACCTGAATGACTGTGTCAGGAAGTGACACCATTCCCGAGAACTGACTCTCCCCAATTCTGAAGTTTCAGGAGGAATAAAGTCAAAAGCAGAGCGCTTTCTCCACTCTGGGGGAACACTGCATGAGAACACTCCTAATAGAGCTACAAAGGATTACAGAGTTCAACCTCACCTTCCTACAGTAGAGGAAGCCAAAGGGAAGTAAAGGAGCAGCAGTAACGGGCAAACGCTAGTTTGCACCTCCATTCCCTTCACTATCACAATTAGCTACCATGGGGACTATTGTGGACTAACTACAATCCTCAAATGAAAAGCTTGATTTTCCACCACCTCCTCATCTCCACATGACCAGCATACAAAAGGCTGTACCTTGCACCACCCTAAGCAACGGCAAGAAAGTCTTAATCTAAGCCCCTTTCAAAGCATCGGTGGTTACTGGGGAGGGCAAAAACATTAAAGATAAGGGGAGACCTTGAGCTCCTCATGGCAAGTGAGAACAAGAGCAAGTTTGGGAGAAGAGAGTTCACTTCCAAGAACAACTCCAGGGGGACAGGGAGAACAAAGGAAGAAACAGCCTTCATTCTTCAGAACAAAGAAAACCACACATGCACAACTCCTAGAGACAGCAGACTCATCTGAAAAGTTGCATCCTTCTTATTTTAACAGTTTTATGAGATTAAAGATCAGGGTTCTTTTAAATAAATGTCTTTAAAAAGAGATTAATAGATCCCTTCTAAGAAAAAGCACAAAGGAATATATACTCCTCTGAGTACTACAACAAGCAACAAAAATATGATTTAATCAGTATTTAACTAACTTGTCCATGAAAACATCACAGGAAAATTTCTGGACTAGTAATTCAAATCCCAATTTCTTTCCCTCTGTTTTATCCTCTAGAAAGTACTTCCTGTGATGTTTCTAGACCACAGTTTGAACTCACCTGGGCTGCAATTACTAATAACCAATTGCAGGTTTGGCAAGCATCACTTAGTGAAAAAATACCAGGAACGTGCTTGGGAGATACGAATTAAATTCCCAGATCTCCTGCTTGCTTGGGAAAGTCACTCTCCTTCTCTTCTACACGTTTTAGTTTCCCCATTTGCAAAACGCACTTAGAGCTACAGAAAAAACATCTACATGACAACCTTATTAACTATTCTGGCTCATCAGAGAGTCAGACTTATGATATAATCACTGAGCAGTTAATGTTTCACTTAAGATTACCATTCCAAACAATTTCACTGTTTAAGTTGAATTCAAATCAAGGATTTAGAAATTCTGAAATTATTATCTACTTATTAAAAAAGCCTAATATTATGGCAGCTGAAAATACCTTAATTTTCCTCTGATAATTAACTGAATTTAATCTGTAAGCCAGAAGGAAATTACCAGAAGGAAATAATTCAAGTATTTTTCAACTCTAATATTAGAAAAAATGTAGTTTTTATTGAATCAAAAAGCCAGTATGAGTCTTCTAATTTTCTTTTGATTTGCTGATTTGTTTCAGCAACTAAACGCTCAAATCACTGCTCTGACATTGCAAGTATCATTTTGCCAGGCAAAGTTCCCTATCTAAAGTATGGCTTCAGTTTTTAAAGCTCTAAAACTTTGCCAAGAAAGGTCACTCAAAACATGAAAGCTACATAAGCAATCTCTCCCTAAACTAGTAATTTAAAGCAAGTGAAATTTTGTCTCCTGTCACTCTTCAAGAAAGATTCATCTTCTCTGAAGTGTTTTGCAATGCTGCTTCTGCATGCAGTTGTGTCAAACCAACAACAGCGATAAGCTCGAGCACTATAGTCCAGAAGCTTCTGTCAGTAGTGAAACCGGCAAAATCAAAGGCATAGGGAATAGATGTTATTGGCCAGTGTCACTCAACAGCTCAGGTCTGCGGTACAAACAGAACCGAAGCTGAATCACGGTCTAATGCTTTAACTACTGCCACTCAGAAGGATCTTGAAAAAAAGATACGTATGTATTTTAATCTGTTACCCCCCTTTTTCCAGTCAAAGGGAGGAGAAACGCAAGTTTATCCAACATAATGCAAGCAGAAAACATTTCAGGAGTCCCGAAAATGGACTCTTGATGGCAGAAGTGATTTAACTGTTTCTAGCGAGAACTGTAAGGACAGAAACTAGCCCACTCATCCCTGAAAGTGTTGCAATTGTTCATAAATGGAATTCCAAGAGTTTTATCTTTCAGTATTATTCCAAAAGTGTTACTTCCTGTGATCTGGCTGATATCATTAAGTTTTTACTATACTTCCTGTTTTAAACCATAATCACCATTATAATGAGTATTTTTCTTTAAATTATGTATTCTGGATGCAGTACTATTTACTTGAAGGACAAAGTCAGAAGATTTACTATTCCTATTCAGTTTATTTATGGTTCTGTTTCTAAAAGTCAGAACCCCATTTATACTGAGAGAAATAAGAACAGCCTTAAAATTAACCTGCATTTTCCCTCATCAAAGAAAGGCATTTTTAAAACTAAGAGCAAATCACACTTACCAAACACGAGTATGAACAACGTATTTAGAGATACCACCCAAAAGACATGTTCCTGCAAAGAGTATGGGGGAGGGAGAGAGGGAGAAGACAAGGAAACCGTACATAAATATCAATCACTTAAGTGAATTAACTTTTATATCTAATTTCAATTGCATATGATTCCCAAAATCTGCACATCTAATGTCAGAGCTATGAAACTTGTATAATCCAGACTAAAACATGCTAGAGAGATTATGAGAGCATCTGTTTGCGCTCACGGGCACTCCGCTGGGTAAGAGCACATGAATTTGCTCTATCATTCTTATTTTGTAATAGCAAGCTTTTATTTTTAAGACCAGCAACAACAAAGTTCTACCTTTAAAAACAGTTACATGAAACGTATGTGGATATTTCTTCTAAAAATGAGAAACGTTCTTCTGAACTTTTAAAAATTAGACTTTGTAGCAAGAAACTTGTTAACAAAACTGATAGCACTCTTTTTTTTTTTTTTTTATATTTCTTTTAGCTAAGCTGATGAACCCATCCAAAAGTACTCTGGAATTTTAATTCCTTTCAGTCTAATAGTAATGACAGTTACTAATGACAGACTAGGCTATTTTATTTCAAATACGAGACATTAAATTAAAACATGAAACATATTTCAAACATGAGACATTTAACCACTCCAGTAGCTAATAAACACGTTAATATTTAAGAAAACAGACCAGTTCTTTCACAAATAAGATAAAGTAAAAATTACATAGCTGCAAGAGAGCATAAATATTTTTCCCTTTAAAATAGAAGAGACTTCTATTTTTAAAATAAGAGGCCTGACAAATGATTTCTGATGAACGTAGCTGTGATGGGTTAAAGTTTCACTGCCATTAGCTTTTTGCGTTTGCTCTCCCCCTCCCCTCAAGCCAGAGCTAGAGATCTCCAACAACCACGTACAATGGGCAGCGGAGAGAAACTTTCCAATAGCTGCACCAAAGCCCACTAGATGATGTGCACGATACACAGGGGTTTGTCAGGGAGATGATCAAAATGGATTCAGTCATGGACAAAAGTTAAGAAGTCAATGGACTTTCTAGGAGAACTTTGCTAAAACATCTAAATCAAAAAGCTTTTGAAACCAATGTAAAAGATATGTGCTCCACTAAACAGACCCACTATTGGGAAGACTTTCAAGAAGATTTAACACTGGTACTAATTAAAAGCATATGTAAGAGGGGAAAATATTCTAGGGAGTACTATACTGTACTACTTGAAAATCCTAAACTTAAGACAACTTGCTTGAACATAATGCCACATTCGACAAAGAAAATCTCTTTAATTTTGAGTGATACACACATTTTAATAAGAATTTCAAATAAAGAGATCTCATTAAAAAGTTTTTCTACAGTACGCTTCTTTTTTAAGAAAAAAAAAAAAAATCTTAAAATGCAGGATTTCACTTACTAAAAAAACCAGAGATCCATCGAGCCCAAGCATCTAAGAGGAGAAGAAATGTAAGTTTATTCACTCAGAGAAAGGTAAGCATCATATATAAAATAAGCCTCACAGTAACTTTTTGCAGTCCAATTTTTAATGTCCAATAGAGTCAACACACTTTTCTACTGCTTGACCAACAGACAATTTTTTAAAGATAAACGCAGGAACTAAGTTCTCGTTCTACACAGCCAACTCAGTTATTCAAAGGCAATAATACACATACTGAATACAGGTGTATTAAGATATTCTAATATAGCAAACTAAATGCTTAATCAATTAACTTATAAGCTATTTCTCTCAAGGATTTGAAGACTCTAACCAAGAGAGATTTCACATTCTCAAGAGATTTTAGTGACTAAACTGCTATTTCCAAACACTAATAAAACAGTTCTGAATTACACAATCAGAGCAAACATTTTGCTAGCTGCAAAACATTACTTTATGTTTCACTGAGAAAAGTGGAAGGTTAAAATCTCAACCTCAATGCATAACGGCAACTAATAACTGGATAACGTTGCTATACTGTATGGTTTTAGGTTTAGAACAGGAATTGGTTTACAGCTAGGGAAGACAGTAAACAAATCCTCCATCACTAACAGCTGTCATAGAAAGCGTACACAGAACAGAAAATCTATTCCAAAAACTCTTTCTCCTCACTTCAAGAATATTCCATTATGCCAATTCAGATACTTATAACCCATGATTAATGCTATGAAATACCAGGTTCCATGCTATTTTATACCAGAGTTTTGTGCTAAAGTTCTAAGATATTAAAACTGTACCTACTTAACCAAGTAAAATAAGAAGCGAGTATTTCTGAAAATTCAGAAAGCTCGCGTATTATTTTCACCAGACAGCATAACTGAAAAGCCTATTCCACTTTTTAGACTAAACGCCCACTAAACGTCTGCTGTCTCTGCCAGCATATAGCATCAGAAACGGTTATGCGAGTTTACTGGCGTTGACTTCTATATTCATGGATAGGCATCAGAACATTTTAAATCAGGAATATTTCAACATTTCCCAGCACATAAATTGGTTCAGAAATATGAAACTTTCCTCTGGAGATACACAATTTGGGTTCAGAAACTTGAAATTATATATGCCCTTTTGCACTAAATACCTTTCCAAACAAACTAACCAGATAGCATTAGATATAAAACACAGCATGACTGTGTCCTCACAATGAAAACTGTTCCTCTGCACTACAGTCAAGGCTATGACTGCATCATAGCCTAGGAACAGAGGGACTAGGTCTGTAACTATGTAGCTTGGGCGCTAGTGACAACGATAAATCATACAAAGCTGCTGCATCTACTTCCAGGGCGCAGCATGCACCGAGTTTTGAACAAACCATATGTTCGCTGCTTCTGGTATTCCACTTTGCTGGTTAAAAAGCAGCTCTCCAGTCTCTACACAACTTGCTATGACTACAGTGTACACATATCTCAAGTTATAATAACGGAACTTGCGATCCATAAAAATAGGAACAACATTACATTGGAATCTTCTATCTTCTTTAAAAAAGACATTTGCCTTGTCTTTTGTAAGTATGCAAATAAAGCACTCAGCAAGAATTTCTGGTTCTCTTTCCTTCAGTTTGTTGGATGCTTCCACAGGTACAAAAACTAAATATTGAACTATATATAAGTTAACACCTATGCGCTCCTGATCGGCCCTTGCGTCCTCAGTGCAAGTTGCAATTCACTTCTCAACTTGGCCAAGTTGAAGACATCAGAAAGGTCTCTACCAAAAGATGTTTTAAGCTGTTACTGCATTTCAAAAAATCAAATAAATGCTCTTTTTATAGTCCGTGAGTAATAGTAGTATTTTAATTACTTTAAGTCAGTAAAGCCTCTCACTGTCAGTTTTCACACTAGACAAGACTTTCAGAATCTATCCCAGATGGAGTTCAACATAGTAACACTAAAAGTCAAGTACAAGCCTGAGAGAAAACTCAAATAATGCAAGAAAACGATTCTTACTCGCTCCCAAGTAAGCTCTTCTGCTGCACGATCCCATTCCAAAGCATTCCAGTTCATGTCATCTGAGGAGACAATGACCATTTGTACAGCTGTCAAACTCACCCAAGACAAGACGTAAACTCTCCATGTCACGTTTTAAACCAACAAAAAGACTAAGAGCATAGCATAACTAAGTGCAGAACTCATGACTGCCAACAGCTTTTCAGCAAGCAAATGCTTCTGCGTCTGAAACAAACATATAAACTTTGCAAAACCAAAGCCAATAAGTAAGCTGAAGTGGGAACCTACTCAAATAGTTTCCCTGAATTATGACAGCTATTTTCAACAATGGTTTCATCTCTACTAACAAAAAAAATTAGAAGAACATTACTGTTTTGAGTCACCTGTTACCTTGTGCTCCATTATTTGCATCTGCTGCATCTTCTACTACAGCATCTTCTTCATCTTCGTTATCTTCTTCCTCTTCATCTACCTGTTCTTCTTGAATGTCAGGGTTCTCACCTACAACTACGTTCTCAGCAGCTGGGTTAGCAGGTTGATCAAGCATAGCATTTTCAACATCTCCATTTGCAACAGCCTGAGCCTGCAGAAACAAGATTTAGTATTCAGTTAAATTGATTACATTCTTGCTGTACTTTGACCCCTGTCCAGAAAGAACATATATTATAATGTTAAAAATGTAACTTTTTTAGATAAGCATTACATTTGGGAATAAGAACTCTCTTTAAAGAGCAAGATAAACATTCAGACTTCTTCACAGAGTCATAGAATAGTTGAGGTTTTAAAGATCTCTAGAGATCGTGTAGTCTAATCCTGCCCCCCGCTCAGAGCAGGGTCAGCTAGAGCAGGTTTTCCAGGGCCATTTCCAGCCAGGTTTTAAATACATCCCACTCTGAAGACTCCAAGACCTCTCCGGGCAACCTGTTCTGGTTTTCAATTCAGCCTCAGAGTAAAAAAAGCTTTTAGTTGTGTTTAAGTGAAACTTCTATATATTATTTTGTGCCCGTTCTCTATATGTTAATTTGTACCCGCTGCCTCTCATCGCCTCACTCGCTACCACTGAGAAGAGTCTGGCTGCATCTCCTTTACATCCTCCCATCAGGTGTTTATACAACATTGATAAGATCTCCCCTGAGCCTTCTCTTCTCCAGGCTGAACAATCCCAGCTCTCTCAGCCTCTCCTAGTATGTCAGGGGCTACAATCCCTTGATCATCTTTGTGGCCCTTCGCTAGACTTGCTCCACTATGTTCGTGTCTCTCTTGTACTGGGGAGCGCAGAAAGGGAAACAGCACTCCAGATGCGGTCCCTCCAGTGCTCAGTAGAGGGGAATACTCTCGATCCTGATGAAGACTGGCATTGTATTAGAGAGACAGTAACATACAGGCAACCGAAGTAACTCATTACGCTGAGGATTTGTATTTCTGTCTTTAAAAAGCTGACATTTATCAGAAAAGAAAATAAAATTGTAGTATTTTACCCCTGGGGACACATAGCTTTTATTATTTCCTCTTCTGCCCGAAACTCCTGTAAGCACTAACAGAGTGAGGGGGAGGGTGCTGAGGGGGAAGGCTTACAGCACTTAAAATTTACAGTATTTCAAAACATACTGTAACAGAGATGATTCAAACTCTGTCTTAAATCATGGATGGAACGTATTAGAAATTTTGCAGCTACTGCAAACATTGATGTAGACCATTACACAAAAGGGTGTACATTTCTATGCTTTTATAACGTAACACAGCCAATGAGTGCTAGTCTATCTGTAGGTATTCCACAGACCCTCCAATTGTTTATAGAGCACTGAACTGTTACTTCACAAATTACTGAGATACTTTATGAAAATGACAAAATAAACCGCCACGTATCTTCATTTACCACAGCTGACAATTCAGTTTTTTCTCCTCAAAAAGTGTAAAGATATAAACCTGTAATAGTCGTAAGACTCTACACAATGTGAAGGTTATTTGACACAAGTTATTCTAAAAAAAAAAAAAATCCATTAACGTTTGTTTTTATAGAACTTCAAGAACATTTTGGAACAAAACAGTGATGTTACTGATTTTAGATATGGAATATGTTCAACTTCTGTTAACATACAAATAAAGATACCCTTCAATAAAAAACGATATTAATATTGGGTTCTGGTAACATTTATTCACAGGCATAGCTTTTCTAAAATTTATTTTCAACTACTGAGCAGTTAAGCTTTACCTCATTTTGTTGGCCCGCCCCATTGAGTGGCTGTTGCTGATTTTGTTCTAACCACTGCGGTGCTCCACCATGGACGATCTGTTCACGTAACCAAACAAGGCTGATAAAAGCACATAGAGTGCATGTCACAACAAAACAACCCTGCAAACAGTCAGCCAGTAAATTCTCCCTGTTAAAAAGAGTGAAATCATCAGTGACATATATTTTGCTTATTAAAATTAAACTCATTGTTAATTACAATGAACAGCCCCTCCTTGTCCAAATCAACAAATAAAACGGTATTTGTGTGAAAAGCTAAATTTATCTGTCTGCCCACATGAAGAAAGTACTTATATGTAATTTGTATTTAGTTTTTAAAAATCTGTTCAAAAAAAGATTTCTTGCAGGAAAGCTGTAAATGCATGCATATGAATGGTGTTGAGTGCCAAGATAAACACTCATTTGGAAAAGGCTTTATTCCCCTTTGGTGTGGTTTGTGAAATTACTACTGTTTAAACAGAAATATTCCTGCAAAAACAGGATCTGACTCATTATGAAGAAAAGCTTCAAGAGTAGTTCAGGAAAAACAAACTTCAAAAATAGGAAAGGAAACATCATAGTCACTAAGTAAATGAAATTGCTATACTGAACAAGCTTGGTTCTTCTGGGAGTTGAATACAGATCTGCTTCAGTGTAAGGCCTATTTTAAAGCATTAATTTTTCTTTCCAGTACCATCCCACTTACAATGACTCAATCATCTACTTCCACACAAACTGACATTACTTTGAAAAATTACAAATGAAGGCAAAATATTAAAATATTAAGCGACAGTGTAAAAAACAAATCTTCAAGACTTAATGAAGAGGCTGTTTGGAAATAATATATGAAGCAAAGAGGAAAATGTAAAATAAATCAAACAATGAAAAGTAAATTGGTGACACGATGACAGTTTGTTGTTTTTTTTTAAACATATGGCATCTGAGAAGGGTATGAAGCAGAAAGTAGCAAAATGCATAATACCTAGTTCACTGAAATATTTTATCTGCTCAGCTACCCTAACCAAATGACAGTGCAGGGTTTGCCTTTGATTGGTCTACATTCCAGCCTTTGAACCCAGACATTACCTCTTCCACTCTATACTTCCAAAAACCCTGATCTAACAAGTCTTAAGTAATTTTAAAGCAGTAGCAAAACAAAGTTCAGCAACCCTCATCCTTATTCCTTCCCCCTTGTTCCCACTCCTTGTACTAACAATCCAAGACCTGTGCTGTGCGACTACGCAGTGAATTTCTTCAGAGAACTGATTAGCTAGAATAAGCTTTTAAAATAAATAAGAAATACCCTGCCATCCCCCAAGTACTTTCAGCCTGGCTCCCCATGCAGCCACACAAATGTTTGTGCCGACACAGCACAGCGAATACCACAGGGACAAGAACAAAGCCCAAGGGAAAGACAGACACAGAGGCTACTGAAACCAACTCTGTCAAGAGAGGTATGTCGAAGTAAAGCTTCACGTGCCGTTAAAATTACACACACATCAAAGCCCTTTATTTATTTCCCAAGTACAGATTCTAATTTAGTAGTCTGTAGAAGACATGAGATGAGATGAGGTGCTTTATGTTCAGTTGTAAAATTTTGGATTCTTCTCATGAAACTCAAGAATTCCAGTCTATGCTTAGTGGAAGATCACAGGAGAAATATGATTATTACCAGCCTCCAAGTGAGCATCTCTCTCCATTAGTAAAAAATTAAAATCAAATTTAATTTCAGTCCCTCAGGTCCAAGAGGATGAAAAATTAAAAATAAGCCCGAAACACTATTGTGTTAGCATTTACTGATTCTATACATGATACTGATTAAAAGACTAAGATGGACACTATTCAACAGTATACAGCAGATGTAGCATTAAAATTTAATTGTGAGACAGAAAGCAATCAAATAAATAAATTCTCATCACCTAAGAGATTCAGCATGGTTAGGATTAAATTCAAAATAAAAAAATGTAACAAAGCAAACAGTGTCACATTAACATACTAATATGTATGCTAATATATATTAATATTCTACTATAAGGCATCTGCTATAATGATTTTTTCAAGATTCCAGAACAGTTTAAAGGAATTTTTTAAAATGATTAAATGTAAATTTTACCATGTGACATTTTTTGACCTCAAATATAAATCTTTCATAGGAAACTATTAACCAGAGCCCAGTTCATAAACTTAGTTCTCTCCAAGCATCCTGAATAACCGAACTTCAAAGTGAAATGATTTGCACTGTAAATAGATGACCATGCTTCTTAGCAGAGGAAACAAGCAGCAGCTAGTGTAAGATAATGGAAAACAAAAAGCATAGCTGGAAGAAAGAGACCCTAACTTTCAAAGCAATCATCTTCGTAGTTATCTGACTGGAGAAGTAATCTGTATCAAGCTAGCCAGGTACTTACGTTGACAGCATATCTAACGGCAGTGTCAGTAGCGAGCTCACAGAGCCAGTAAACAAGCACTTGTAGATGCGACCTGCATAAAGAAACAGAAACATGGTAAAAATCCTTTTTTGAGTATAGCCTCATTTGGAAAGGATCACAGGTACTCCCCTTTTTGCCTGGTTTCTTAAATAAACTTACCACAAGGAAAAAAATCTGAACTTTCAGTGAACCAAGAGATAGGCAAAGGAAGGTCTCACAATATCATAAGTCATGGAAACAGGCAACTAAAGACAGTGTAATTTTAAGTTACTCATAAAGACCTCTCAATACTGTGAGTGTTGCTGTGGAAGGCCAATACTTTAATCCAAAGCAAGCATAAGCCCAAGCTAACTTTAAATTACTTGTGCTGCACCACAAATTAGAACAAATACAACAGGTGAAACAACAAAACTAGATTTTACAACAGGTGAAACAACAAAACTAGATTTTACAACAGGTGAAACAACAAAACTAGATTTTACAACAGGTGAAACAACAAAACTGTAACAAGGGCATCACCATTTCGTGTTGTGTACCATTATTTTATGGATTAATATCTGATGCTCATTAATGCTAGCTTTACTACCATTCCTCAGTCACCATCTTTTTTAAAGTAGGCTATTAGAGCATACAGCCTACTTTATAAAATTACATTCAGATCCATAGGAAATGACACAGATGCCCAAAACAGGATGCAAGAAGAATTAAGGCACCTAAAACTAGAAATGCAATTCTGAAGATTCTCACCTTATCCTGTAGGCAGGCACTGGTCCCCAAGTATATACTAGCATGCTATTGTTTGTACAACCTAGATCAAACAGCTCAGTTCTCACCTCATGGTTAAACTTGTATAGAACTCACAGAAAGCCTGTGTTTCTACATCTCTCAAGAATCAATCCACTAAAAGTGCCCAAACACAGAAGCGTATTTTCTGTGGAATTTATCTTCTGATAACAATGGCCCCTTTCATAAACAAATAAATAACATCTAGCTAGTGTTTATGCTCACCTTTTATCTAAAAGGTAAGGGAGCACTTTGAGGAAGTTCAACACTCACCTCCCCAATACAATCCAGAACAGAAAACAATATTAAATTCAAAAGTCCAAAGTCAGAGCACAAAAGAGATGATGGCTGTAGCTGATCAAATAAGGATGTGCATCTTCATTGCAGTCAGTACTGCTTACACATTTTGCGTTTAACGGTCACTGAATAAAATGCGGTAAGATGATACTGATCCTCTCTTGCTCAGTGAGTTTCAATAGCTCGCCTCTGTCTATCATCCAGCTACACGGCGGGAGAACTTCAAAAGCGCAAGATGTAGTTGTGAACTCTGTTAGCCAGAAGACGTCAAAGAACACTAGCCTGAAAAACTCCTGGTTACACTGCGCTGTAGGAAACTAGCATAACAAAACTTGTTTTGAGATTTTATGGAAAAGAAAGGAGATTTTATTATACACAACCTCTAAGCAAACTGATCTCTAAATAAGTTAATTTCTTCCACAGATTTCACTCACTCACATACTCACAAGCACCAAGACATGTGTGCCCAAGTGGTCTGGACAGGATCACTTGCGTGCAACACTTAGGGTAAAGGACATCAGCTATCATATCCTCATCATATCTCTTGGGTTCTTGTTGACTAGTGATGATGCGCTGATTTTAGACTTCCTTTTATAACCTTCATGAGTGGATGCTGTCTGGGATCTTTTGCCTTATTATTTTATTTCATCCCTCTTAAGTTGGGACTTTCACAGTTGTCTTCCATATCTGCATATTTTATGGCTCCAGTCCTTTTCTTCATCTTATGACACTTTATCTTTAGGTCAGTTTGTTTCCCCTCTTCATCTGAATGAAACTACATATAGATGCTCTATGGCTATCAGCACATACCATTCCTTTTAACCCTTTTCTGCTGTTTCTTCTAGTGCTCACATACACATTCCCATTCATATACCATTCATACCAATTTTAGTATTTCTATTACAGCGTTTACAATTCTAATCACTACATAGCTATATGAAATGTATATGACCATCTTCTTCAGCTACTGTGTTTTTAGAAAACATGCAAATGAATCACTCCAGAAAAAAGACATTCATATGCCGTATTGTATGTGCCTACTGGTCTCATATTGATACTGACTTCTTAAATTTGAGACAAAAGAGCTACTTCAGAAAACCCACCTCCCACTCTGGCATTTCCCATTGCCTTAGTGGAAACATTCACTTTTCTTGGTGCATACACCTCATTCATACCTCATGTACTGTTCAGGTACCTTGGGCATTTCACTCTAGGAAGCAGGTAACTAAATACATTCACCACACGGAAAATAAGCACTTTGGTTTAAAAGGCCATAGAGTATCATTTGACTAGCCTTTTTTCATCCACCAATCTCAATATGCTTTGTGCTAATGGAACAGCAACACCACATCAGTCTGCTAGGATTAGGTTGAAAATACGCATACCGAGAAATTTATTTTATTCAATCATGTAAGGTGGGTATGCAGTAAAGAAGTATAATTACCAAAAAAAATGTAGACTTTATTTCACATCATTTATTTGCTCACGGATGGGATAACTGCATGACTAGCACATTAATCTGGAAGACAAGGGCTTGATTCTTTGCTCTACTTTCTTGTGAAGCCACTCATACACAATTATTATAAGCAGATGACAGAAATACTGGAAGGTAGAAAGAGATTACAGTATTTAAGACAGACTCATATAAGACTACATTCCTGAAACAGATCCTGGTGACGGATAGAGGATTTGAAAAGGAAGTAAATGGATTTTTCAAGGTTTGTTGGACTGAACAGTTCTGTCACACTGGATAGCTTTCTGTGCAAATAAAACGTTACCCTCCACTGCACGCTTTAGTTCTTAAAGTAATCCATAAAGAGGGTTACATGTACGATTACAACATAAACAGAAATGAAGACTAAGTAAGCAAAAAATCTCCGCCAGTCGTAAAATTAGTCATAATTCATAAAACTAAAAATGACATTTCTAAAAAGTTTTATGTAACTAATTTGTATGTGGTGACTTCTAGTAGTATTTCAGTATCATTGGAGAGTGGTCTTTGTAAGAAAAGTGCAAGATATTCACGTTTTGAAGGACAAAGGTAAAAGACTAAGACTCATCTAAACACCCAAGGAAAAGAAATCCATTCTCAGAAATAAAGTCCTCCAAAATAAAAATCTGTAAGGTGGGGGGTGAAGAGGGAAGGAGGAGGAATAAAACAAACATGCAAGAGAAAGCGAGGAAGAAAGAGTCAATGGCAAGCAGAGAGGAAAGGGTCAGATTAGAAGAATGAAAGAATGACAGAGTATTCTGAAAACTTCTGGCTGCCTGTAATTCATTTCAATAAATACAACATTTAGATAGAACATTTTCTTACTCTGCTGTAACATTCAGAACAACTGACGGTCCCCCAAATGCAGAAGAAACGTCCCCAATTCAAAAGTTTGCAACACAGATAAACAAAGACAGGATAACAACCAGGTTAAAATTAGTCAAATAATTTAAAATAATGGTTAGTTTTAATCCTAAGCAGTTTGTAAATCTTGTTTACTCCAAGTTCAGAAAAGCTCCCTTTTTTATGACATAGGAAGGACAGGCTGCTGAAACAGGATCCTTCTTTAATAGCTTGTTTCATTATTGTGCTAGGCTCAAACTAACCCAGCACCAGCAAAAAACTGAAAGCACAGAACATATTGAGAAACCGTGTACGGAGATGCATTTACTGCTTTCCTGCTCTTTTGTCCAAGGGATGTATTTCTGTTTTTAAAGATGCAATTCCAGTCATTTTCTTGACAGAACACTGTAGCTGTTTTTGCTTCTCTTTTCATCTTCTCTATATTTTTAGCTTTTGGAATCAATAGCTCTCTTTTGCTTTGTATTTGAAAAGTGAAATTCCATCTGGATACTACAGTAGTTTTTATGCATACTCTCCTTACATATTCTGTTTATAGAATGAAAAAAAAAAAAAACCCTCCAGGTCTAATAGTTAAAGGTGACTTATGCCTTTATCTTCTTTATCTTTCTCACCTGTTCATTTCCTTTCTGCTTATTTCAGGTGCAGTGCCAACTTAACCTGAATAGGCCCTGAAACTACGACATAAGTGCATAATATTAGACCACAACATTATACAGAAGCTCTGATTTTGTTGTAGTTTGTTTCATTTTCAAGCTTTTTCACTAGCACAAAGTTTGTGCTTGGACTTTCAACATAGCAGAGGCAAAGTTTTATTTTGTTGGGTTTTTTTAAGAATACAATTTATACTAAAACTTAAATAGTCTAGCAGGAGGCAAACTGTCTCCTTCCTATATACTATACTTCCTTCAAAGGCAAATGTTTTGCTACCTACTGTCCTTTCAAAGTGTGCAGACGTAAAAGAGTTATTCCTGAAAAGCAGACTGAAACGATGCAAAACAAAAAACAAAAACAACAACAAAACACCAGTTGATTAACTAAGAGATTTACAACAATCCTCCTAGGTCACATAAAGCTCCAAACATATTTTGCAACATCTTTCCCTGAACATCTAAGAAAAAGTGGAACACTTGAATTATATTAAAGTATCATAATTTCATTATACAAAGATCTTCCTTATTGTAAGTCCCACTGTATATTTTTAAATAGTCAACGCTCAAAAAAGGTAGCATTTTAATACACCTGAACAACTGGAAGAAAGCAGCAGAAGGACAAATTTTGACTACGTAAGAACACTGGTGACTCTTGAAGTAAACTCTGCTACAGCCACATTCCTTTGCATCTTAAATATTGTCTTAGGCATATTATAGACAAATGATGAGCTATGAGCTCATCAAATGATGAGCTATGAGCTGTTGAGCTATGTCTTTCTTATACCTGTAAAGAATGTCAAGTAATATTATAAAGCTTTGGTTTCCTAAATATTCTTACAGTTGAACCCAAAATGTCAAAGATAAACTTAAAACTTTCCTTTACTACTTACAGGCCTTTGTTTAGATTTACGTGCAGTTTTACTGTTCAACTTATGGACCACAATAAAGGATTTTAGCTTTTTATACTAAAAAAGTAGATTTGCATTTTCATTTCCTAGGTAGTTAGGAAATAACAGAACTACAACTCTTCTAGCCTAAAATGAATAAGTAATATTAAATAAAAAATCCATAAAGATTTTGAAGCACATAATTGAAAGCTGTCGTTTCATAACAACAAGAAATTTGAAAGCCCTTTTATACGCTTTGTTCTCTCTCTCGACATCTTCCTGCATTGTAGCACTGGCTTGCAAGTCAAATGGCTTAAGAAAGTAACAATAGCTAGAATTGTCTGAAAAACATATCAATAAGCAAAATAATGTAATTTTTTTTAAATAAACCAACAACAGCTGTGCAAAACACTGTTGTATAAAGTATAATATTTTCCTGTGTATAAGACTTTTATAACACTGAAAGTTAATACTTACATGCAGTAAGAGGTACTACTCCCAACCATGCAAAGGCCACAAGTGTATAGTGAAACCAGTATCGTATTGCTGTGCCAATACTCGTAACCAGTCCAGCAAAGATGTCTTGGATTGGAAGCCGTGAAGGCATATCTGGAGAATAAACTGTGTAGAAAAGGCACTTGTGAAATAGTGCTTATATATGCTCCTTCAGAAAGCATTTATGTAGAAGTCCTGCCAACTGCAAAACATTTCTATTTGACCAAAGCTTACTATAAGAATAAATACATTCTATAGTTTCCCAGCAGATCACCCAAACAGATAGCAAAAACATAATTCACATCACACATTCCTTATTATTCCTATAACACTCGGTGCACAATGTAACAACTCCGCACTAGTTTAGAATTAAGTTTTTTTTTTTTTTAATAGCTTTATTATACCAACTGTAAAGCCTGGTTATCTCAAAATAAGCTGAAGTCTGGAAGAGAATGCAGATTCTAAATCCAAAAGTCCTCTCATTCAGAACGACCTACAAGATATCCTTGCTACATAAAACTAGATTGAGGAAAGCGCACAAGCGACAGGAGATTGACTTTGCATACCGTTGGTGTATTTGTGGTAGATAACTTAAGATGTCACTTGCTATCCAGCAGCACAAAATTCAGCACACTAAAATAATTAAATAGACAGGAGGACTGAAAGGTACTAATTAAGTATCTACAGAGGTTAAAATTTACACAGAAATACTTTTATTTTGAAAGGACATCTACTTCATACCAAACAAGTTTTTTACTAAGTTCATGCCTATTACAGAACATAAAGAAAATCTCTCAACACATACATACATCTTCAGAAAAGTACGTTCTCTTAACTTTTTCATACAACACATACATATTATAGAAAATCTTCCCTACTCGGAAGCCAAGAAAAACAGTGATAAAGTTCTTCTGCATTCACTTCTCCCACCTGAGTAGGGAAAAAAGCTAGATAATAGTTGATTAGGCTTTGAGGTTGGTTTCCCTTTTTGTCACATTACCAAGCCTCACTGAAACCTCTACACGTAGCCTATCCTTCCCCAAAAGCTACTAAAATACGGAACCATATTATTCTGATTCCAGACACTGATCACAAAAAGTTTTCATTAAACAATTAGAAGACATCTAACATTTTCATTATATTTAATTAGCTACTGCACATTAATATGGACGCCAAGAAGTAGTTATGTACAGCATCAATATCAGATTTGAATGAAGAAGATTAAACTATGGCTTGATTCCTGCATATTTAATGGTTATGTTGAAAAAAGCTGAACTTGAAGATACTTGACCACCTTTAACACATTTAATTAACTGATTTTTTTTTTTTTAAACAAAATTTGGGATCTCTTTTGTAGTTAAAAACAAGAGCTACTGGAGAAAAATTTTCCTCCCTCCTAATGGACAATCCTTTGACTTAAAGTTGGAGAAACACTGCCTAATGCAATCCACTTGCATCCACCTCAAGAACATCCCTGCTACCTTTACCTACATTCCTAATCATCCTTTTACTATCAGAGAGAGAAAGCCTCCACAGGAAAAGATCTCTTCTTTTCTCTCCAGGGATATTTCCCATCCTCCAGCCTTTCTTTAAGTTCCCATATTCTAAAGAGAACTCAAGTGAGGAAGATAGAAAAGCAGCATCAGTATGCAGAAATAGCCAAAGAACGTGGAGTGTTGTTATAGTTCAACAATGTGTGGCTTACATTTGACACAATTAAGTAACAACAAAACAGTAACAGAAAAAAAAACAGAAACTGGTTTTAAATTTTAAAGGTTCTGAGATGTCTGGTAAGGAACTGGAATTAGCTAGAGAACTTACTCCCTTCACCCCACGCCCCAAAAAAACCTAACTTCAGGGAAGTATACTTGTGAGAACATAGGGCAGCAATTCAGAAGCAGAGCACAAAAATGTTTAGACAGTGTTTACCAAATAACAATCTTCTTATTACAGAGTTAGTTTTAGGACACAATTTGGTAATACCACAGAAAATATTAATTCAAGACTTAATCATGATCTCAGTTCATATTAAATTAACATTTTGGAGAATTATCAGAGGAGACAAGTAGAAGTTTGTGAAGTGTTTTAAAAGAATACCTACCTGTATTTGTAACATATTTATTATGTCACTCTGACAAATCTGAACTCAGCAGATACCTTAAGACTTTTTTTTTTTCCATTTTCAAAAAACATACTTTGCTCAACATTTTGGAACTCCAAAAAAGACTACGAGGAAAAGATTAACTGTGCATTAATGACGTATTTGTTATGGGAGAGTTGGGAGAATCTGAAGTTAAAAAAAAGTGTCTTTCAGAAATTACTGAATGCTCACACAGCTGTGATAATCATAGGGAATTATAAAATGGATGCTCACCCTAACTTAGTAAAGCTGAAGTGCCCAAGTCATTCGTAAATGTTAATGCCTCTTCAATATTGAATTTTCTACAGGCTTTAGGATTACAACTGAGCATTCAAATAAATGAATGATGTAGCCTACTACTCAGAGAAGTTAAGCTACATCCCCCAAATCTTAACAGTTTTGTGATTCTTCATGATTCCAGGAGCTTTCAGTACGCGTGTTTGGGAGAGGTGTGTTGCGGGCGGGGGGGGAGGAACTGCTGTATTTCTCTACTTTGACACACCTCAGAACACAGAGAGAGTCTACCACTGTTTCTACCTAATTTTCACTTCCCTACCCCTTTGAGACATACAGGCAGAAAGCTACTATGAATAGTCCAGCATCATATGCCATCTGATCTCTCCCAATCATATCTATCTAATGAAACTGGAGAAGAGGCAAACTTTCATTACATCTTTCTACTACCAGCCCCTCCACCACATTCAAGATTGTATCAATTTTATAAATCGTGGTTTTGGCAGAGCTACATTTTAGTTGGATTTGGGGTCTATTCTATATCCCAATTCATAGAGCACGCAGGAAAAAAACACAGCAGCTGTTAAGTGGAAAGTTGCCATACGAGATCCCAATAATTCAAAAGGAATTAAGAACCATGATAATAAGATAAAGCTCTTCTATGTCCTACAACATTAGGCTAGATAAAAAAAATGCCAAAATCCCTAGCACGACAAGAACTCCTGGTTTGCAAATACCCTTAGGTACAGTACTGAAGGTTGCTGACAGCGGTTTTCATAGCTAATGTCCCCACTTGTGTCTGTCATCTACCATTATTTTGTCTCTCCACATTCACTTTTACCCCTCTCCCCCGTTACCAGGGTGAGCCTTGAGACTTTGACCCTTCCTGTACACATTCTCCTTACCCCCCCCTTCTTGCACTTCTCACCCCTTAATTTCCGTCCCAATAATAACTTTCTTAAAACAGTTTGAGAAGTCTACTTACTGCATTATTCCCTTCATTTCCTCCAAAGAGGAACCTCTCTAGTAGAGTCCAACTGAAGCAATAGTTTTTCTGCTACAACATCAAAATCAAACAGACATTGGCTGAGCACAGATGAGTTTCAACAGCTTTAGTTCAGCCTTTTGGGCTGTCCAGGCCATGTGAAAACCACCAGAAAGCTTTTTAGATACTTAGTCCACACCTGTACCCTTTCACTACTATTGTACTTATGAATACTAGATTTTTCTTTCTCCTCCCGTAAGCCCAAAATTTTCAGGGACACTAGCGTTAATTTTGCTTTTCCAAAACAGACAGCTCATGCCAAAAATGTTATAATCGAGAGCTGCTGTTACTCTGACGCAAACAAGAAGATTGGAAAAACATTAGATGATTTTCAGAAATCTTCCATTCTCCTAGAAAAATTAAGGAAGAAAGCAGACAAAAATGATTAGTAGTCCTTAGGGGAACAGTTTGTCAACAAATTTCAGCTGACAACGCCTCAGTGCACCAAAACAGGAAAGAGTTTTAAAAAAAAATTGTTCCCAATGCTCTAGCTTATCATAGTGATACCTTCAAGTTTATTACAGGAAGCAATCATCATCCCCACTGCCTCCTCAGAGGCTATTTAGTGCAAACATCACACAGCCATGTTTTGACAAACAGAGACAATCAACTGAACTTGAATACAGTAATTCCTGCCAAACTTACCAAGAAACAAAACAAACACACGCTTTCATTTTAACCTTTATAATCTTTTCCAAATACTACAATTTAATCCAAATGAAAAAGATGCACACACAATTTCCCTTGCAAGGAAGTATGAGAGAGAAGAGCCATGACATGGGCAGTAAAGAAATGCACTCTCATCACAGCAATATCTGACCAATAAAAGGACATATAGGTGCTCCACAAAAACCTATTATGAGAAACCACTATGAACAACTAACCATACAATCATTACAAACATTAGCAAAACTGGATAATTTCTGACTTCACTTGTGTTGCTTAGCTTTTTACTAGGATAAGATATCTAGCTTGGATTAAGCTGTGCTTGCTCAAATACAAATAGCTTTGCTTCGAATGGAAAAAAAGTGAGGAACCACCATCAGAAGCAGTTACACTCCCTCTATTCACAAATGACAGCTGCAAAATAGAAAAAAAAAAACACTACAGAGACAAAAAACAGGCTTCTTCATCATGAAGTTCTGTTCCTAGTGTTTATTGTCCTACATTTGCAGTACAACCCCTGTACAAATCTACCTTCACACAGAATCATCAACAACTTGCAACTGATCTCAAAGCAACTGTCTAAGGAACTACTTGTCCCTTAAGGGCTTGCTCCTACAAAATGAGGACAGACTGCGCAACTTCAGGTATGTTGCGAATTTGGTCATCTCCTCCTTTTAGGACTAGTTCTGCTACAAGGTAATAAGTGCATGCCTTTCGAAGCATGCAAAGATCTGCAGAAAAGTTAGATATATGATCATTATGAACAAATACGTATTTATATTTACATGTTTTCTTTGTATTGTATTTCTTTGTATATGTATAAACACATATAAACCAAATATGTGGTTTTCATACTGCTGGCCAGGGGCATTTTGGAATTGCTTATCTTCCGCGCAGAAGGAAGCGGAGCAATAGTTGAATGTTTTTGCCCGTTAATATTGCAGGTACAGATTTGAGGTCTCCCACAAGGCCCTGCCTACAATGCACCATCTTACTTTTCACTGAGGGAAGCAAAGCTGCAGAAAGATGCTAGAAAAGCAACACCCTTTTGATGTATGCTGTATCAAAACCAAATTCTGTGTATTATGAAGGCTAAATTTGTAAGTTGTTTCATTTTTCCCCAGAGCCGTCATGACACAGCTATTGTATTTCATTTCCCATTCTTTCATCATCCAAGTTAGCCTATTTATCTGTTCAGAACCTAAGTAAATATGCATATGCCCAAAGTGGAAGAAAGCAAAACATCTTGCTTCGCTTACATAAAACCGTCATTTAGCCTGCTCCACAGAATCTCCACAGTTATAGTCCTTTTATGCATACATTTCCCATCTACCATTACACCCACAAGCCATTCATAACCCATCTCAATCATCCTTGTGCACTGATCATGAAACAGTCATAGTTAGAAAAGGTACGTTTTACAGTCGTGAGACATACATGGACTTTGCTCCAGACTATTAGGAAACAAAAAAAAAAAAAAAAGAAAAAAGAAAATGTCACCCCTTCTCACACAAGCCATAGCTCTAATAAAATGTATGAAATTGCACCCACATCTATCTCAATTGCATGTTTAGTCTGCTCCCTGAAGCTGGCAGCGGACATACAGGATTATTGTGACAGCATGTAGTATTTTGTGTTTCAGAAGTTTACATTTTTCCAAACTAAACATCCTAGAAAGGTTCAAGATATAGGCTACTGGGTTAAAGTCTGTCAGAATGAATGGGTTTTTACCCACTGGCCAACTACATCCTTCAGAGAAATCTTGATTACTTTGACTCACGAGCTCAAGAAAATGGATTGCTCATTTTAGTATAATTATGTGGCTTTTTACAGTACATTTTGAACAAAATTAGTTTAAAGTTCCAAAGTCTGGAACATTTACTAATTACTACTACAAACAACATGCAGTTACTAAGTGAGGTTTTTGCAAAAGCAACTTTAGAATATGAACAGATACTTAAGATATTTAAAAGTTGCTCCACAGTGCTATTCATTTTTCTTTGCCTTAATGTCTATGAACAGTGTTTCAGAAGGTGCAAGTGCACATAAACCTTGAATTTGTAACGCTGCATGCATAAAGCAAAAGCTTATTTCAGAAAACAACGATTTACAAACTGAAGAGCATCTTCCCTGCATGGCTTCCTCACATTTTACAAGCTTAGCATTCAGTAACCTTGTGATGTCACATTCACCATTTATCAGCACTGCAGCTACTTAGGAAGTAGAGGGAGCAACTCATCTCAGACTCAAGCCAAAGATTAGATGAGTCCACTTCTACATTTGTATTTTTTTAAATATTTATGTCATATTAGTTCTACAGAAAAGAGAAGTTTTGAAAACTGCCTACTCACGGGAAAAAAAAAATGCCTCACTTCTTCACGGGTCAGTGTTTAGTGTGTTATTGAAGAAGCGCATCATAGCACATCAGAGGGAACTGTGCGTGCATGGCAGGGGGAGGGGTAATATAGACCAGCTGCCATTTAAAGACTCAGAAAAGAAAAGGTACAAATTAAAAAATGAACAAATGCCCTTATAATTAAAAAAGAAGACCAAAGCTACTGAGTCTGTCTTTATTAACAGCTGCATTAATTCACAATTTTAAGAACTGCTAAAGAAAAACAGATTTTAAAATATATAAAATTTTGCTTCAGAGCGAGTATTTGAAAATTAAGCCATTGCTTTACACAGCTAAACATTTTAGAAAATCATGCTAATATTCAGAAGAAAAATCAGTTTCTTTGTATCCCCGACAAGATGCAAGTTGAACTTTCTACTTCTTCCTTCCTTTCCTTCCAAAGAGCAACTAACCTAGTCATTTAGGTGCTAAAGAGGTCACAAGATATTACAGAAGTTAAAGATACTAAAGGATTAAAGAAAAATGTGCACTAGGAACATTTTATGAAAATCTCATATACTTAGTATACAAAAAATTATACTAACAAAGGAGCATTTTTTGACAGAATCATCGTGATGACCTTACAGGCAAAACAAGCTGAACTAAAAAGAAAAGTTGCTAGTATTACTGTGGCCTGTCATTTGAACCACAGATACTGATTACATGCATGCATTTATTCCACCACATCACATGATAAACTAACTTCACTGAAAGTGCTTTCAACCTGGCATGGTTACAGGCCAGCTCTAACTTCATTTTGGATGACTAGCAGACACATTAAGCCCATCTCCAATTCCATCTCTGCTTTGCCATCCTCTCCAACACCTGCGACTCCTTCCCAGCTTTCCTTCTGCTCCCACAAACAGCTCCAGTCTCCAGACTGCAGCTCCAGATCATCTTCCAAAGAGGGAAAAGAAAAACTGAGGAAATCGTACCCGCTTAAGTATTGGATGAGAGGGAAACAGTGAGACAAGACAGGCTGGGTAGAGACTACTGGAGGAATCTGTGCTAAGTACCTGACACAAGCTACCACTGCATGCAGCCTTGTAGGAAAGAAACACTGCAATGTGGAAAGTCAATGAAATACCATCAAATGTGGGTGCTAAGTGTGGGGAGTGGCCAGCGCCGGACAGAGGAGAATACACAAGCGTTTGCTACAGGCCGCATGTGGAAGAAGTACTCCACAGCATGGGGAAGAAAGAGGTTCACTTATCAATTTCAAGTCTCAGATGATAAACGGCAACTTGCTAAGCCCTCAGTAATTCAATTATGTTTTCTCACATGCCCATAAACCTGCACCTATGTTACAAGCTGTGCTGGTGACAGCCAGGTCAGTCAAGGATTAAATTTCTGCAGGAACACCTCTGTTGATACCAGAAAATTCTTCATTGTCCTTATCAATATTAACTAATATGAAGTGCAATTTATTTAAAATTTCTCATTATTTTTGCTCTAAATCAAAAAAAAAGTTTGTCCTTTTTCGCACACAACTATGAAGCGTTCTCTCTTCTTAGTAACCAGGAAATCTGGCTTACCAGTTACAATTAAGTAAATGTAATTTTCTTGTCTTGCACACTACATTCTGCAGAGGGCCTAGCAGCAGAATACAATTTTGAAGGTAGCCGATTAGATTTTTACGGAGCAGCAGAACTAGGATCACCTTCACTTGGCAAAGCTTCTAAATCAAAGTAATGTAACACCTTTTTGAAAAAGCTTAACAAATAAAACTTGAAAGCCGATTATACCTCTCAACTGCATTTCCTATATAGGACGCTGTATAGTAAAAAAAAAAATATAATGCTTGAAAGCATTGTTGGGAGCAATATTAAATGTACTATTCTTCTCACAGTGGCAAGATAGTGTTAATACTGCACATTTCACTGCTGATCATTTTAACAAAGGTCTAATGCACTTAATTGTTGTACAGAAATGAAATATTCCGGAGTTCAGGACATGGAAGGTGTACTGTGGGATTTCTGGGATGAAGAATATATACGAACTAAAGCATCTGGCTCTTCAGGCTCAGTTGTCTCTACCAATACACAACTTGGAGGAAAAAAAAAAAAAAAGGCCGGGGTGGGGGGGAAACGACAGCTTCGATTTTTATTGTACCAACCACTTGAAACACTCCATTTTATCATCTTTCTCAAGAATGCTTTTACAGTTAACAACAACTAAATACACATATATATCTGCAACATAAAGAACTCAGTTCAATAATTTAAAAAAATACATTGATATAAATAAAATTAATACAACATATAGCACAAGAACCACTTTACCTGTTCAATTGTCAGTAAGGTGGCAATACTAAACAATCAGGTTACGCTGCCACCAGGCCAAAGGACCTCACTTTTTTCTACTAACGGTGGTCAAAATGTTATTAAGAAACCTGTTGGGAACTATATAAAGATACAGGCATTCTTGATCATAAATTGCCTAACTTACTTAGTTCAATCTTAGGTAATGCAATACTGGGTAGCTACTGTACCTTGACTGAAATGTAAGTGGAACAATCAGCTATTATTTTCTGCATTATCTGTCTAAACTGTTTAAATAGAAACTGACAGAAGTCATCTGGTGTTGTTGCAGATGGTTCAGAGCTAACTGAAAACTGGTTTTCAAATGTGAATTTCACTGCGATTCACCTTAACGTTCAAACTTATAAACACTCAAGTTTATCACTGAGGCTGAAAATACTCCATATACTGTAATGCTGACAATAAAAGAGTGGAACTGAGCCAACAAGAATATGTACGGAATAATATTTCTTTCATGGCTTGGATAAGATTATGGAAGCACAGTATTATCTATTACTCAAACAACTCACACAGTCTGCAATAATATGCATAACATCTGTAATTCAAGCAATAATACAGAAATTAAAACGTGAGTTTGAATCTAGCATGCTGAATGAAAAAGTAATCACTTCACAAATACTAAGAAAATGAAAGGAAAGAAATGCTGAAAAAACAAGAGTAGTACAACATACTTACTTGGTGTGAAAGCAAATCTGTGCTTACATAATTCACAGTATTCTTTTCTGCTGTGTTTAAGCCACTGAACTAAGCTGCAATAAAAAGTAATCATATTAATATATGCTACTACATCTCTCCCTCATCCCCCTCCATTAAGAAAAACATAACATCTCACCGCTTTCCAGCATAAAGCAGGAGAGTGGTACTAGTAAATAGGATTTAAAATAGCATGTTTATTAAAGTCATTTAGTCCATATATTAAGTTTCAAAAAAGTGAAAGAGGTAAGCTGACTCTTCAAATACATCACTTAACATAATTGATAAAGCATGTTCTTTAGGCACATTATTGATAAGGCTAATCCCTCATATCCTTGTACGGACACTGACTTTGAAACCAATCATTAAAAATATTCTAAGTTATGATACACACACTAAGACCCCTAAGATATGAAACGGCTGCATTTGTGAAAGAATGACCACTAAAATACCATCAAAAGGAAAGCATGTTACAGACCAGAATTACAAGCTTCACTTTAGCATCTCCCTGATCACGCATACACATCAAGGATATCCTAATATTTTTTTCCTATGAGGTTAGTTATTCACAGTCATTCACAGCTGTAAATGGGCAGAAAAAAACAGTAGACTGATTTTTTTCTGCTTACTGTTTCCACAAAGCTGACATACGAGCAGGACTGTAGTTCTGCTAAGTACATACAATAATAATTCTTTGCTCTTCCTATTCAATTACTAAATTATTTGTGAAATGCAATGACCTGTCACGCAAGAAACATCAAAATCTCTAACACGCTACTTCTGAAAACTGGCTTCATCCACTACTTCACCTGAAGACTGAGGAAATATGATTTTTAGAAACAAGTTAACGTGTTTTATTAGAACTTACCATTCTTGATGGATAAATTTAATACTGCCAGTACATACACATGGATGATAGAGGGGTTTCTCAGGAGTTCCTTCAGATCGACAGACCCGGCATATATCTGCTGAGCAGAACATAAAGCTTATTACACTTACAAGACAAATTAGACAATTATACTCCATAAATTTTGCCATATAGCAAAATGAAGTCACAATAAGTTACGCTGAAAGAGGCTGAATGACCTATTCTGTGTGATAGAAGACACGAAGACTCAGAGACCCCCAGAAAAAGCAACAGGAATGGTACATTTCTGTTCATGTTACAAAACACAAAGCCTAATTTAAACATATTTTAAGGTGTTTAGGATATATACACACTAAAACTATAAGCAGAAGTACTGTTCAGATTAAAAAAAACCACACACACAACACCACTAAAACCCCCCATCTAGATTGTTAAGGATAATCTCCCTGAAGGTAGCTATAAACTTTCAAATGGAGTAATTGTATTCCATGTGAGCGTTGCACAAGCTAAACAGAAACTTAGCAGAAGAGATTTACCAATGGCTAACAATGACTTATACATGCCATTTGCTGCCCCTGAACCTAACAAGCATTCTCCTCGGTGCTCCTGAGGAAAGGGTTTTTTTTTAAAAAAAAAACAAAAAACAAAAAATAATCATCAGGAAAACATATTTTGGGGATGTTGCTACTTAAGCTGAGTACGGCCACCCATTTAGCAGTTTACAATCAAGTCAGAAAAGGAGATATTTTCTATTTCTTGTTTCATAGGAGTCCAGCCCCTTCTTTATTCGTCGTTTTTGCCATTTTATCACAACTTAAGATAAGTTATTTTGTAGATATCTAAGATAACTTTTAAGATAAGTTATTTTGTAGGCAAAGTGAATGTAAACTTCTCCCTGTAAAGAAAAGAAGTCTATTCTAACATCACCTGGTTATCCAAACCATTGAAACGCAACCAAATGTAGACAACAACATTTTATTTGCTTATTTGTAAAAGCATGCTATCTTCTCTTTACCCCTTCTTTTATACTCTGGCACTTTTACTTAGATTAAAAAATGTAGTTATGGAAGAACACTGCAGATACACAATTTCAAGTTAAAATCAGACCTCTTTGTGCTAGGTTGAAACCTCCAGAAGTTAATATTTTTCTACACAGTAGTTCCAAAATGCACCAAATGTTACAATAGGAACGTTTTTCTACAAAGAAGTTACAGTACAACCACATGCATGGTTCACAGGATAGCAGACAGTTTCTATACCTAAAGCATAAGAATTCAAGTGGTACCAAAGACAATTTGGTACCTATAAAACTGAGTTTTAAACTAACTCATGTGGGCAGAAAGCCTAAAATTAATTCAAGAAACATACAGTCAACACACATCAGTAATGCTACACACAAACATAAGAAATACTTTTGTCATAATCATATTGAGTGATGAGGTATCACTGCAAACATCAAAAGCCCCTTGCTTCTCTGCAGATACGAAAGACCAGAACCATCACTTTAGGTAGCAAAGGATTCTTTTAATATTTCCAGATGACGGTACAGAATAGATCTCTTCAACTTACAGCCTGGATCTAACAGTTAGCTGATGCATCCTCACCTTCATCGGGCATTCTTTTGATTATTAGCTGCGCTGGTTCACTAGCATAAGTTGACAATTTTGTTTGCTGGAACGGCCTCGCAAAGAGTCAGACAAGCGCTAGAGCCAGCACAAGAGACAGGATGGGGTAGATGGAAAAAAAACAGAAAGGAGTAGTTACACCAGCTTAAGCGGATGTGAAACTGTTGCTGTAAGAATATTCTTTGGCACCAAAGCAAGCAATTTAAAAGTGTAATATTCTCTGTAGGACCCTCATTGCTCTCTGAACCCACTCATTAATGGTCCACTGGATTTCAGAGCTGACTGTTCATTCATTCTCAAGACTGTTCGGAAAACCAGAATTTGCTCTACTGGTAGCAAATGAATTCTTCATTTAGAAGAGAACGTCCTTCTTCCGGCTGCTAAGATAATTTAAAGCTTAAGTCTAATTTAGGTATCAGGATTTCCAGATATTCCCTCTTGTTTTATGAATCCAAATACACGTATGAGAAATAACAACCCAGACTGCTAAGCAACAAATAGCTTCAAACTGACAAACCACCTTGATGCTCAACATCTAAAATTATGTACCTTATAATGTGTATGCTGCCATTCATACAGGAATTCCACTGTGTAACAGATACTATGTTCAACTTGTGCGCACACTTTGCATCCTGCTCTTCACATACGCATCTTGGAAATAATGATCTTGCATAATGCATTTCTTTTTTAATCCCCCAAAGGTGATGCCTCTGCCTATTACCTCTAATTTCAGTCTCTTCTTCACTATATTATCTAAAGGGAAGGCTGCGTTATTTAGCAACAAATTGATTTAGCTAGAAAGCAAGAGGGGTACCCCTTACCAGCAAATGTTGCTATCTGAAATGCTGCAGTACTTCTACTTAGTAGATTTCATATGCGTTACATTCACATAAGGCTGTCCTCTCGGTAATGACGAAGTACTCTTAAAACTTTATCTCAGGTTGTACCCCTTGAACAACTGTACATCCTCTCTCAGGAAGCAGTAAAAAAAAACCAAACCAAACCAAAACAACAAGTCGGTAAGTATGTCCTAAGAACACACTCCATTCATACCTGTAAGACATAAGAGATACTGTACTACACAGGCAGGTGATTCCTATAAGGCTCTGATGATAAGCTCTGCCTCTACCCTTGGTAGAAACAAACTACTTACTCAGATGCTATAGAGAAGCAAGTCTCATATCCTGTCTCAGGCCAAAAAGCTGCCACTTACTTCTGCCCGTTATTATCCTAACCAACCTCTTTCGAACTCTCACCATCCAGTTAGTTTCCTAACTCCACAATCCAACGCAGGCAACTGTCAATCCTGTCAGAAGCACAGCGACCATAACATCATCAATAGGTTATCGTAGTTAGAAAAAGTCCATTTGACATTCTACAGCAGAAGTTCAAGCTCTGCTAAACAATAAAGAGCAAAAATTTCCTCTTTCCTAGGTCACTTACACAGTCTTTTCAGTTGCAACATTTTAAAGCTTTCTAACCTTGGGAAGTCTCTTCAGTGTTCTGGCCAGTGCTGTAAAATCCTAATATTGTGACTGAATTTTGTGACTGTAGGAGAAGTTATAACGCTAGAGTGACATTTCTATAACGTGACTCTATAGACCAGTTACTTTCAATAACACTACTCAGAGCTTTTGAGGGTAACACTGATAAGGCTATAGTACGAGACTAGATACATACACAAATACACAGGGAAGTCTAAATTCCAAGTGTAGAGCATGATACTAAAGTTTAATTAAGGGATACAATGCCCTGAGATGTCATTAACAACCTTCTCCTTTCTCTTCATGGTGTCTGTTCAGGAGATCAGGTCCTATAAAAGCACATATAATCAAAGGCTACCACTTTTTAACATCCTGCAACAAATATTCAATTTTGCTTTTCAGATTAAATCCACCAAGATGAAGTAAGTACCAACTATTGGCGTGGTGAGATCACAACTGGTGATTTCTGAGCATCCACTTCATAGTTTGCTATCATCCAACTTTTCTGGGTGACTAGATGCCAAATTAGTCACTTTGCTGATGTGATCTGCGTGTGTAATTGTTGGTCCACGGAAGCAAGGCAATTAAGAGTTGTAGCAGGCAGTTCCAAAACTCATTAGATTTTAAAACCACTAATGTTTTGCTAAACCATGTTTCCGAGAACTAAGTTGTCTGCAGTACAAGCCAATGGAAAGTTGTACAAAGATGCCTTATTTCATCCACTGCTTTGTATTTTTCCTGCTTTACTTTTTTTTTTTTAAATCTTCTCAAGCCAGAAAAAAACAAGTGTGACCAGATAAAAAGGTTTTATTTGCAACGATGCACCAGTAACAAAAGCCAAGAGACTTGAAGTTTTCCTTCTAATCTTGCTATTGCAATACGTGCTTGAACTTATTGCTTAATATGACAAACAAAGCTCAAATACTGCAAGAAAAATTAGCACAGCACGCATTTTATTTACTTTTGTGCTACCATATTAACTGAAATCCATGATTATGAGAGTTCCGCATTATCAGGTTACACTATATAGCTCAACATTGTCTGAATTGAACTGGGTACAAGTAAATACAGAAGAAACTCATCCACTTTTGATTTCAAGTGGAGAAATACCCTTGAAAATGGAAACTACACACTAGAAATACATCACCATGGTCTCTACGACAAGTTCTTTGTTTTAACATGAGGTAAAGCACTATACATTAATCTGCTGCAGGAGAAAGAGCTAGAGAAAACTGCCAGATACCGCATCATTTTACTACATCAACTTTTCAAACAGATTTTCCAGTATACGTAAAAAAGCTAACCTCCCCAAAAAAAAAAAAAAAAAGTGTCAGCGGCTAGGGTTATTATTACTATTGAGCAACGCGCACATCTGAGAGCTCCCCAAGTTACAGGGGAGGATATGACAGTGCCTGTCGACCAAGAGAGACCCGGACGAGGCGAGAATTTTGGGCGGCTCCAGGGACCCCCTCTCCTCACGGCCTCTCACGCCGCCCCGGTAGGCTCGCTGGAAGCACCCCGGCTCTTGCTGCCCAGC